CTTCCACACAGCTGAATAAAATCTCACATTATCTGCTTTGAACTGGGATATATGGCAGTGTGGACTCAGATAACCCAGTTCAAAGCAGATATTATGGGCTATTCTGCCTTGATATTCTGGGTTATATGGTTGTGTGGAAGGGCCCCTACACATACATACCAGGAACACATGTCAATGAATTTTGTGAGATTTATTTATGTGCAGGTATGAATATCATTGCACTGTTAAAATCTAGCAGATGTGAGTAAATATATGTACGTGATTGCTAATAAACACACATTTCCAACTGTTGTGGGGAAAAACAAATTACTCAGTGTTCTTTGAAGCAAGAACAAACAGTATAGTTTGTTGTTTCTTCTTGGAAGAGAGTAAAGCTAGATGAGAACATGGTAAAAGTAGGTTTAACAACCTTTTATAGATTTAGTATGATGAATCAAGCCTTTTATAACTATTTTAACTGTACTCATTTACGTGCAGATGTTTTGTAGTCGACCGTTGTATAGAAGTACATTTTCAACACTGAATATAGTACATTTTTTGAGAGGAACTGGTAAAAAGATCTCTTGAGTACACTGAGGACTGTTCTTAGCTGTATTGTTTTAATGTAGAGTATGAACGGTTTTGGTTCCTTATGTAAGAAAAGCAGGTTATAAAATAACAACAAAAACATTTGAATGACCTTTGATCTCTTTACCAATGCTATGCTCATATTTGAGAAAATTCTTCAGTTCTCCATCTTACAACACATGATCTATTTCTTCAAAATGGCATTGGAGGAATGTCCTATGAATTTCATAATCTAAAATTTGTAAACGAGGCAAGAACTTTCATGAAAATATATTATTCAAGACATAGTTCTGATAATGATTTTATGCAACAGACAGTTAAAAGATGAGTTCCCTTTCATGTCTTTTCCCTTCAAGTCTGTTTTTAGGAGATAATGTAGAAGTATTTACAAGAGAAACCAGTAACAAAACATTACGCTATATCTCCATGCCCCTAAAAATACTACTCAGGGATCCCGAAAGTCCAGAACTACCTTTTTAAAGGGGCTGAATGTCCATAGTCTTCTAGATATTTTGAAAGTCAACTCCAAGAATTCCTTGCAGTTGGTCAAGCTGGCTGGGACTTCTGGGAGTTGCACAGTTAGAGGAGCAAAGTTTAGGAACTAATTGATAGAGGAACAGGATGGAGACTTCAATCTGAAAGAAAAATGCTGATACCTCCAAGATGTGTGGGTGGAATAGTTTACCTGCCCGAACATATCTCCCTCTATGAACCATTTAAGACCATAAGATCATCCAGGGAGGCCCTGCTCTCAGTTCCACCACCATCACAGTCGCGTTTGGTGGAGACGAGAGACAGGGCCTTCTCCGTGGTGGCCCCTCGGCTGTGGAACTCCCTCCCCAATGAGGTTAGATCAGCTCCCCCCCTTCTGACCTTTCAGAAGAAACTTAAATCCTGGTTATGGGACCAAGTATTCAAAAAATAGTTGTTTTACTGGGAAGACAAGATTTTATTGGACTCTACTTGGAATGTTTTGGATGACGATTTTAATATGGCGATTTTAATCTGGTTGACTAGTGTGTGTGTGTGTGTGTGTATACACACTATTTTAATATACATGGATGTATTTATTATGTGTTTTATATCATGTTTGGCATTGAATTGTTGCCTGTTTGGAAGCTGTTCTGAGGTCGAAAAGGACAGGTATAAATACTTGAAATAAACAAATAAATAAATCATTGCTGCTGTTATTGGACAAACTTCGTCTTTTTGGTTGTCATCCTTGTCTCTGTTAGGCATTCCATGGATTCATCCATCTTACCATAAAATAATTCATCTCCATCAAAAGGTAAATCTCTGTCCAGGTACAAAACCCATTTATGCAAGACACAGAGAATACAAAGAACGTAAGAGTCATTTATGCTATCTTGATGCAAATGAAAATGACCATATTTCAGAAGTAGAATACATACTTAGTGTGCAAAAACATCTCAGGGTCATTGCCCAGAATTTACAATGGAAAGAAACTTAGGTGGCCAAAAGGTGGGAAAAACTCCTTCCTGAGATCCAGGAGTATTACCATCAGTGTAGCCATTACTGGGTGAAATGGACAAATATCCCATCCTGGCCTATGGTGGTTTTATGTATTCTAAAAATAACTGCCAAGACCGTGTGTGTTCCAAACTACTGAAAAACAAACACACACACACACACATATCTCATGTCAGAAGCAACTTGAGAAACTGCAAGTCACTTCTGGTGTGAGAGAATTGGCAGTCTGCAGAAACGTGGCCCAGGCGACGCCTGTGGGATACTTCTCATGTCCCCGAATAGGAAGCTGGAGCTGACAGATGGGGGCTCACTCCATCTCTTGGATTTGAACTGCCGACCATCTCATGGATTTGAACCGCACAAGGATTTAACTCATTGCGCTACCGTGGCTCCTTAATTTTTTACTGAATGTGCAATGCAAATTTCAAGGTATACAGGACATCTAAAGATCCATCATTTTACAAAGTTTCTAGATATGTTCATTTCTGCTTCAGAGCAAGTAGAGAGAAAATTGTGTTGGGACAAACTTTCCTGCATAAAAAAAAGAGGCGCTTAATGTATCCCTTCCTTCTGTTTCCACATTTGAACAAAGTGGTGGCCAAGTTGTCAAATGATTGATCCAGTGCATTACTGATAGTACCTTATTTATTTACTTTATTTGTATACCGCTGTTCTCAGCCCTTAGGCGACTCACAGCGGTTAACAACAAGAACAGCAGAAATTCAATGCTACAACAACACGGTATATAAAAACAATTAACATCATAAACACATTAACAGTTAACAACAATAACCATCCACTGACATCTCATAACTAAAAACATGATCCAGATTCGTCATCCATTGTTCCATTCCTATGTTCATTACACTCATTGCACTGTCTATTCAAACGCCTGTTCAAATAACCAGGTTTTCAACTTTTTCTGGAATACCATTAATGATGGAGCCGATCTAATGTCCGTGGGAAGGGCGTCCCACAGCCGAGGGGCCACCACCGAGAAGGCCCTATCTCTCGTCCCCGCCAGCCGTGCTTGTGAAGCAGGCGGGATCGAGAGCAGGCACCTTATTGGCCAAGACAGCCATGGTTGACCTCACTTTGTCATGTTGTTTTGCCTTTCCATTCAGATCTGCCTCTGCATTCCAATAGATAAATCTATCACCCAGACATCCAAATACAGGCAGACCCTAAGTTACAAAAACCGACTTACAAACAACGTATAGATAAGAACAGTGTGGCACAAAAGGAAGTGAGAGAAATCTACCCCTAGGAAGGAAATTCACTCATGAAAGAGTTATCATGGGGAAAAGGTGTCTCCACTGAAGCTTTCTCGCCAATCCTTGTTTCCACAACAATCCTTTTTTTTTTTCAAAATCAAATTATCACAGGAACAGAAAGTGAAGTGAAATCTTCTGAACAGGGGCACAGACAGCAAAACAAACACATAAGGGGTCAACTCTTCCCTATGCTATCCTGTGTGTGTGTGTGTTGTCAAAGGCTTTCATAGCCAGAATCACTGGGTTGCCTTGTTTTTGTTGTTCGTTCAGTCGTTTCCGACGCTTCGTGACCTCATGGACCAGCCCACGCCAGAGCTCCCTGTCGACTGTCACCACCCCAGCTCCTTCAAGGTCAATCCAGTCACTTCAAGGATGCCATCCATCCATCTTGCCCTTGGTCGGCCCCTCTTCCTTTTTCCTTCCATTTCCCCCAGCATTGTTGTCTTCTCTAAGCTTTCCCATCTTCTCATGATGTGGCCTAAGTACTTCATCTTGGCCTCTACTATTCTTCCCTCCAATGAGCAGTCGGGCTTTATTTCCTGAAGGATGGACTGGTTGGATCTTCTCACAGTCCAAGGCACTCTCAGAACTTTCCTCCAGCACCACAGTTCAAAAGCATCTATCTTCCTTCGCTCATAATTTTTATTAAGATTTACATGTCGAAACTCACCATCACTGGGTTGCTGTGAGTTTTTTGGGCTGTATGGCCATGTTCTGGATGCATTCTCTCCTGATGTTTCGTCCACCTCTATGGCAGGCATCCTCAGAGATGGTGGACGGGAGAGAAAACGTATTGTCTACTCCTCATATAGAATCCTAGAATTTTGGACTGGAAGAGACCCCCAAGGGCCATCCAGTCCAACCCCCTACCATGCAAGAAGGCACAATCAAAGCACTCCCAATAGACACCCTCTGTGGAAAAGCCTCCAAAGAACGAGACTCCACCACACTCCGAGGCAGCCTATGCCACTCTCCGATAGATCTTACTCTCAGAAAGTTCTTCCTAATCTTTTCAGTGAAATCTCCCTCCCTTCCATTTGAAACCATTGCTCCCTTGTGCCCTGCTCTCTAGAGCAGCAGAGAGTCAGTTTTTCCCCTCCCTCCTCAATGGGACACCATTTTAAATCTTGAACTATGGTTCTTATGTTCCCTCTCTACCTTCTCTTCTCCCATAAGAGCATATGCTAGATTGGCCGGTCTGTTATTTCTCATGCAGTGATCTGACCTAACATCCCTTGGAAATGTTTACAGTCATCAATCTGTAGGAAGCACCCAGACCATGAAGAAGAGGTTGCTTACCTGTCACTGTGGTTCTCTGACTGGCCATCTGTGTTTTCACACAAACTGGCCCTGCCTTGCCCTCTATATTCAGGTCTCTGCCAATCTTTTCAATAGATTTAGGAACTGAGGGGATGGTAGATGGGCAAGTAAAGTCCTGTGTAGTATTAGGAGGGGGATGGAGCACCTATCATGCTACTCGCCTTTATAATATTCTGGTAGGTTATTTTGCACAGGTACAAAACACATTTGTGAGGGCACACAAATGGCCAAAATTACAGGTCAACAACGTGTTTCTCTAATATCCCTAAGTGCAGATTTTCAGTGTCAGTTTTCAGTATCCAAAATACAAAATATATAATAAAAATGAAAATATGTACTTGCACAAAATGGAAGAAATGAGTGTTTTAATATCAATTTTGAAATACCTAAAACAACACATAGCTCTTTTCTCAACGAAGCAAGGAAATCTTCTTAACATTTAAACCTAGAGAATAATTTAAATACATATTGGCATGGATTTTCTCTCACTATAGGAAGAACACAAAACCAAAAAAAAAAAAAAAAGATTAATATTTCTAAATGTGGTATTTGATAAACCGGAGTCCTGTGAACATCCAAACTGACTATAAATAATTTTTGAATGGTAAATTAAACAGAACACGAGAGGATGAAAAATATGTTACTTTCTTCAGTTTGATGTGACAACATTGTCCATGTTCAGGTTCTGAGCGATTACCTTAATTATTCACTTCTGAAAAAACTGAGACACAGCTGTTTGTTAAGAGAAACATCTAACCCAGTGTTTCTTAACCTGGGGGTTGGGAACCCTGGAAGGGGGTCGTGAAGGGGTGTCAGAAGGGTTGCCAAAGACCAGCATAAAACACTGGATTTTCTGTTGGTCATGAGAGTCCTGTGTGGGAAGTTTGGCCCTATTCTATCATTGGTGGGATTCAGAATGCTCTTTGATTGTAGGTGAACTATAAATCCCAGCAACTACAACTCCCAAATGTCAGGGGCTAGTTTCCCCAAACTTCATTTGGGCATATTGAGTATTTGTGCCAAGTTTGGTCCAGATCCATTATTGTTTGAGTCCACAGTGGTCTCTGGATATAGGTGAACTACAACTCCAAAACTCAAGGTCAATGCCCATCAAACTCTTCCAATATTTTCTGCTGGTCATGGGAGTTCTGTGTGCCAAATTTGGTTCAATTCCGTCATTGGTGGAGTTCAGAATGCTCTTTGATTGCAGGTGAACTATAAATCCCAGCAACTACAACTCCAAAATGACAAAATCAACACCCCACCCCCCAAACCCCACCAGTATTCAAATGTGGGCGTATTGAGTATTTGTGCCACATTTGGTCCAGTGAATAACATACATCCTGCATATCAGATATTTACATTACAATTCATAACAGTAGCAAAATTACAGTTATGAAGTAGCAACAAAAATAATGTTATGGTTGGAGGGTCACCACAACATGAGGAACCGTATTAAGGAGTCGCGGCATTAGGAAGGTTGAGAAACACTGATCTAACCAGATTATCTCAACATGTAAACAACTACTTTTACATTTAAAAACATGATTTTGAGAGTAGATCCACATTTTATTGTACAAATGTGTACACCTGAATAAAGAATTAATTTACCAACTGTACATACACTACTTACTAGAATGTTAACACATCGACACATACATTAGACATACATATTAATGAATTTAAAGTTACTGGCCTTTGTGAAAAGTTATATATATACAAAACAATGTCTGTCTTTGAATGATTGTGACTTGAAGGATTTATTTATTTATTTGGGTACAAAGTAGAATTTAAAGTAAAGGCTATTTGCATTAGAGATGAAAAATGTCTATGAGAAAAACAAACTTTTCTCTTTGGAAATAGAATCCTGAGGAAAAAGTCTCTTGGGTACAGAATGCTGACATTGTATTACAAAAAGCTACTTCTGACACAGGACTTCTGTACAGCCAGAGTCGTTTCATTTTTTATATTAATGACTCACAAAAATAATCATGTGTCGTCGAAGGCTTTCATGGCTGGAATAACTGGGTTGCTGTGAGTTTTCCGGGCTCTATGGCCATGCTCCAGAAGCTTCTGGAACATGGCCACAAACTCGCAGCAACCCAAAAATAATGTTTACTTCTGTTTTGATAATAACCCAGTTAAGGCAAAATGCTTGCATTTGGTGTGAAGCATACAAAAATGGCCTTTGCATGCAAGAGGGTGTTGTAGCATGCACATCTGCTGAAGGAAATTCATCTAGTAGTGGGGCAATGTGTTTAGTGATCTTTATGGGATTAGCGTTTCTATGTAATAGATGTGGTCATCTATGGCAGTAACAAGTCTTTATTCTTCCTCTTCACTGAAAACACTGTTAACTACTCAAACCTAATATTCAGTGAGTGCATGCATGGAAATTCTTGCACATTAACATGAAACACAAGAATGTGAACAGGAACAGTACGTGAATGACCTCCCCTCCAATGAGACAGCTCAAATCTGTGTCCATTGTTTAGAATTAATGGCATGAAATAATGACTCGTAGTGTATTTCAAATTAATCTGGGGAGTAGATTGTGGTTGTTTTTCTTCACAACCGTATATCAAATCCTACTTTATACAACAAACTTTTTACTACAATCACATTTGCTGAAGTGAATATTACGATTTCAGTCATTGTAGGCAACGAACCATGCAACCATTACAACAGCAGCCCCAAATATTGGCAGGACAATCATATTCTTATATTTTTGCCATACAGATTTTTCAACTTCAACCTCATCCTTTTTTCTCTTGTTCTTCCGGCGGCCTTTGAGCCTGTTCTCAAAAGCCTCCAATTCAGCCTAGACAGAAATAAAAAAGGAGTTAAAATGGTGTATAAATATTAAACTTCATGGAAGGTTTTCTTCCCCCACCCCCCCAAAAAAATGTAATTGCAGAATAATATTTGGCAAACACATAACACGACACTGCCTCTTTCACATCCTCACAAAGGCATATCAGTAGTGTTAAGTACGACTGTAAATAAAAACCCTTTCATTTTGGGATGAAAGACCCTCTTGTAATGCATGCAGGAAGGAGCCATGGTAGCCAGGAGACAGCAGCTGAGTTTGTTGTGTAACACTGATACAAAGGATACGTGTTGGTTAACAAACCATATTCGAGTAGAGTTACTGTGATGGCACGTAACACCAAATAGGAGTTTAGCATTGCATGGATGTTCCATCAGATCAACAAAGCAGTGGACTCACATACCCTTCTTTTTCTCTCCCTTCCACAAGGCCAACCCCGTTTTCAAAGAATGCGCTGCATTCAAATCAGGAAAGTGTTTTTAAAGTAACTAGCCATCCCCTGCCATGTGTTGCTGTGGCCCAGTCTGTGTATATATGTGTATATGCGTGTTTGCATATATGTGTGGTTTTGCACATGCGGTGCAATGTAAATTTTTTTGGCTTTTTACGCCTCTTCTGCTGTGTTTTCCAATGTTTTTATGAGTGATGGACACTGGTTGGCCTGATAGGTGCCTCGTGTCCAAATTTGGTGTCAATTTGTCCAATGGTTTTTGAGTTATGTTAATCCCACAAACGGACATTACATTTTTATTTCTGTAGACTAGGATTCTACACATTTATTAATTTACTAGCTGTCCCCTGCCACGCGTTGCTGTGGCCCACATGGGGTTTCTGTGTGGGAAGTTTGGCACAATTCTATCGTTGTTGGGGTTCAGAATGCTCTGTGATTGTAGGTGAAGCATAAATCCTAGCAACTACAACTCCCAAATGTCAAGAATCTATTTTCTCCAAATTGCACCAGTGTTCACATTTGAGCATATTGATTATTTGTGTAGAGTTTGGTCCAGATCCATCATTGTTTGAGTCCACAGTGATCTCTGGATGTAGGTGAACTACAACTCCCAAACTCAAGGTCAATGTCCACCAAATTCTTCCAGTATTTTCTGTTGGTCATGGGAGTTCTGTGTGCCAAGTTTGGTCCAATTCTATCGTTGGTGGGGTTCAGAATGCTCTTTTATTGTAGTAGAACTGTATCCCAGCAACTACAACTCCCAAATGACAAAATCAAAAAATTTTGAGCGAAGGACATACATTGGGTTGTTAGGTGTATGCTGTCCAAATTGGGTGTTAATTGGCCCACTGGTTTTTAAGTTCTGTTAATCCCACAAACGAACAATATGCTTATAGATAACAATATGCTTTTTAACCATATGCCTTGAAATTAACTAATGTTCAGAATTGTTTTAAACGATTTCTAGGTTTGATACCTGCTACAGGACAGTGGTTCCCAACCTTTTTTTGACCAGGGACCACTTGACTAGGAACCACTTTGACCAGGGACCACTCTCCAACATTAGTATTAAAAGGGTTATGAATCTGTTTCTGGACAACTTTAGATTCCGTTTGGTTATTTGGGATGCTGATTCAGAATATTGCATTGGATAGACCACATCAACTTTAGTTTCTGATATAGAACATATGCCATCCAGTAATCGCTCGCCCACAGAAAACCATATTTAATAATCTAGAGCTGATGTAGTAGTAGTAATCTTTCATGGGTAGTCAGCCTCGCCCCCTCCCCAACATCCCCGTTGCCTCAGCACTATAAGAGGGTTTCGCAAAACCAGTCGTTCTCACTGCCACGTGGTTTCGAGGCAACGGTGTAGTAATGGTGAGGCCGCAGACCATATTTTTATTCTTGCGGACCACTGGTGGTCCATGGACCACAGGTTGGGAATCACTGCTATAGAAGGAGGAGGAGGAGGCATTGGAGGAGAGGGAGACAAAAGCTCACACTTTTGCTATAGTTGGGCGTATTGATACGTGTTCACATTACACTAGGCCATGGTTTGTAATTGTGTGCAAACCAGGAAAAGATAATGTGGTATTAGTGACAGCTATCGCTACTACTTGGATTCCAGTGAAAGTATGTATCTTTTTAAGACTAGTGACCCAATGTATGTATCTTCATTCACTTTAGGAATCCAAAAAGCTTCCTTTTTAAAAACTGTTAAAATATAACAGGCTGTAAACCTACATTCAAGTTAATTTAAATAAAATGTAGTATTTACTCGAGCTAGTGCATCATGAGGTGCATGTTATCAAAAAAATGAATGTGCCAAAGAAGCAAGGAGAAGTGGACATCTGCCAAGGAAAGGCCTAGCTTCTCCTTGGCCTCATCTGAGAAGCAGAGAAGAGGGCTTGGGGAGGGAAAAGTTTGGCTTACTTTTGGCCTCTCAGCTAAGAGGTGAAGATAAAGGGGCTTGGGGTGGAAGGGGTGCCACTTCTCCTTGGCCTATCAGCTGAGAAACAAAGGAGAACCAGGCTTTGAGAGGGAAACACTGCTTCCCAAGTGGCCAATGTGATTGGGGCCAGTTGGGAAGTTGCTGCTCCTCTAGGTTAGTGAGTTTGCTAGCCTCACCCTAAGAGATGGGCACAGGCAGCTATAGGCACACAATTCTAATGTGCCACTGAATGTAATACTCATCTCAATTTTGGCTAAGGCTAAGCAATTAAGTCAACATAGATGTGCATTACATTCGAGTAAATACAGTAATTAAAACTGCCATTAAAATAAATTTGAAATTCAAAAACAAATCATAGAACTGTACTTAAATACTATTTTCCATTAGAATGGGAAAGAGACATGTGGATACCTGTTGCCTTCGTTTTTCCTCTTCAATGGCAGCTCTGGTTTCTGCTTCTTTCATCTGTGTGAACATAAACAATGTTTAATAGGCACAATAGCTACAATGTAATTGACTATTTCAGAAATACAATATGTTAAAACATCTGAAATGGGGCGAAAAATGGGATGACATTTCCTGGGATCATGTGAACATTTGAGACAGGCCAGTCCAATCTCATCTTCATCAGCTGTTCTCCAAAGGCCTTTCTCAACCAAGCCATTTTAGATACTGAAGATGTAAAGAACCGAACTTGTGACATTCCACATGAAAAGCATGTGCTCCTTCCAGAGCTCAGAGTGGTCATCTGGATAAAAATTTGGATCCTGAACTGAGGCATAAGACAGAGAAGATCATATGCCAATGTGCCACGGTATTCTTGAGAAAACCTAGCGAGTAATTGCAAGAACGAGATAAACATGGCATAACACTGAAAAAAAGTGTGATGCCTTTAAAATTACAAGAATGACATTTTAAAAAGCTGAGATCATTTCTGACCAGGCTTTCCTATAACTCATGCCCACAAAGTTCATTTTTCCCTACATGAGAAGTTTTTAGAAATGCTCCAAATTTGCATCCTATCAATGACAGTAGAACTATATCAAGTTTTCATGACACAAACTAAGTCCAAATAACTTCACTGCACAGGTACAGATTAAAAATCTTGATAGATGCAGATTTTAGTATTGGGAATGTATTGTGAATCAACCCAAGGTCCATCTATCACAAGTGTCCCTTTCCCATAGTCAACCAGATGCTATGCAGGAGAAGATGGCCAATGCAACCCAGTGATTACCTCTAGTTATCTGGTAGTCAAAAGGTATTACTTCCATCTAGTAGCAAAATGTTATTAAGTTTCATGATCAAAGGCTTTTTAAAAGACTGAATCCTATATAATGAATGCCATGAATTAATTCTGCACAGTGCATTATTCTTTATTTTATCCGGAACACACTGTCAGATTCACTATCAGATAATACCAACTCCAATTTAGTAATATTAAAAATTTCCTCTCTATCTACTATAAATCATACTTTTTTCATATGCTTAAGATGTATCCTTTCATAGCCTTGAAAATCCAAATTTTGCAGAAATGATATAAACACTCTGCTATGTCAGTTGCACTTTACTTTCATATCCTTTCAGAAGCTGATGGCCATAACAACAGAAAATATTTCACATGGGGCAACACCACAAAATTATAATTGCGTTTTGATTCTTGCTATTTTATTATAAATCCCCAAAGCACATTCAACAAATTAGGATCATTCTTATCAATATACTTGAATGTACTCAATTATGTATCATAGATACATAACTAAGGAATGTATAAAATGTCATTTAAGAAATAATTACTTTTGGAATAATGTATACTGAAATAAGCCCTGTATGGCAAAAGTTTGTTAATTTTTGGGATGTATCAAATAATTTTTTTAGAACTTGAATGTACTCAAAAGAATTATAGGTTAATCAAGGCTAGCTGTTGCTTAATACATTCTTAGTAAGATCTGTTGTTCAATGTTCATTATTTTAACAATATTTCCACCAATTCATCTGTGGCAAAGGTTAAGAGATGACACAGCTACTTTCCTGGATTCACACCATCACTTAGATTTTTTAAAGATGTGGCGATTCTCCAGTCTTCTGCTAAGAGCTAGTAATAACTAATAAATTACTAAACATCACCTTACAAACAAAACAATGTAAAAAATTGAGGCTCTGTAATACGAAAGTAAATTAAATACACTGCATAGACTAAAAAAGAAACAAGAGGAAACTTGGGTCCAATAGCACCCAATAAAGAAACGTCTATGAATAGAAATTTCCTTTCAAAATCTTTCCCACCCACACATCCAACTGATTTCAACCATATAATCTTGCTGATCGGACAAATCATTTCCTTCTTCACATTGCAACTCTTTTCCTTTGTAAACATCATTTTCACATAATGCCATAATATAAGTTGGAGGAGGGCGAAAAATTATCTCCTTCTCCTCCAGCTAAAACACATCCCATTTTTGCCACCACAGCACAATCATAAACATTTACATAAGTTCATGTAACAGAAGATACAAGTTTAGGCTCTGTGTATGTGGCTTTTGTTTGATTGTGTCAGGAGCGACTTGAGAAACTGCAAGTCGCTTCTGGTGTGAGAGAATTGGCGGTCTGCAAGGACGTTGCCCAGGGGATGCCCGGATGTTTTGATGTTTTACCATCCTTGTGGTAGGCTTCTCTCATTTCCCCACATGCTGGAGCTCATAGAGGGAGCTCATCTGCATTCTCCCCGGATTTACACCTGTGACCTTCGGTCTTCAGTCCTGCCAGCACAGGGGTTTAAGCCACTGCGCCACCGGGGGCTCCTGTGTATGTGTATGTGGTAGTGTACTACAATTACATGCCTGTTCCATATTCCATACAGTATACTGCAATAACTATGTAAAAAAAAATAGATCCTTCAAATAAATGGTGTGCATAACTAATTGCATTTCCACATATGCTTATTAGTTTGCAAAAAGAAGGAATTGTATACCCATATTTATGTTCCATCGAATGTAATGTGTATCTTAATTTTCAAAACCTTAACCCCCCTCCCCCCCCAAAAAATGCTGTCAAATGTAATGTGCCCCCAGCAAGGCCCAAAACACAGAGGAGAGTAGATGGCAAGCTCAACAAGAGGATGGCATGACCAATGGCATAGACGAGGTCATGTCAGGGAGGTAGGCAGCCGAACAACCAAGAGGCAAGGGGAAGTCTCTCTCAGGCCGAGGCTGGTGAACTTAGAGAGCTTTGTGCACTTCCCAACTGGCCTTATTCGCAAGGCCTTCAAAACCTCCTCAAAGACTGTTTTATATGCGCAAATAAATAATAATAATAATTATTATTATTATTATTATTATTATTATTATTATTATTGGACTCAGGGCGGTTCCCAAACATAAAAATAAAACTGGCAAACATTCAATGCCATCAACTCAACATTAAGACAATTATACATATAAATTAAAACAAATAAAAAGACATCGGTTGGTAATATAAACCAAACCGTCAAGCATCATAGAGCATACATTTAAAACTGTGTAAGATATAAAAATATAGCTCTTCAATAAATTACAATAAAACAGTCACTGACAGCTTCTTCCATTTAAAGAGTTTATGATGTTACTCATCCTCCATACACCAGTGAGCAAAAGTGAGTTTTTAGTTCTTTCTTAAAGGAGAGGAGCGTAGGAGCTGTTCTGATTTCTTTTGGGAGGGAGTTCCAGAGGGAAGGGGTGACCACAAAGAAGGCCCCCTCTCTGGTCCCCACCAGCTGTGCTTGAGATGGGGTGGGACTGAGGGAAGCTCCCACCTCCCCACCCCCACCCCCAATGATCACAAAATCCAAACAGGTTTACAGACAGGGATGTGGGATGTCCAATAGTCTGGGCTCAAACTGGAAGTTTGAAGGCCTCATGAATCAGGCCAGTTGGGAACCGTGCCAAATCAGTTCCTTCTTCATACTGTGGATTCCCTGTTGGCCTTTCCACTAGCTACTTCTCTAATCCCAACCCTGAAGTGACCTTGCCCATCCCACTGGGCCTGTCATCCTCTTGTTGAGTTAATACGCCATCAAATCTATTGCACAGCCTAATTTTAGCGATGTAATTTAACCAAAAATGTGTGCATTAGACTCAAGTAAATATGGTAGCTCTTAATTTCCTTTTGCTACTGCCTTTTTGCAGAATACAAAGAAAACAGAACCAGTGGTCAGAAGCAATGAAATTTTACATGCTACAACCAGCATGTGTAGTTTACCCATTTGTTCATATATCACCTTTTAAAAGTATCAATATTTTCAGCATTTGTGTGTCATTATGCTTCCAGCTTCCCATAAGAAAGGATAGAGTCACATACACATATTTATCAATTGTTGACTGTGATGTATATGATAAGTCTTTATTTGCCTTACTTATTCGTTTGTTTATTTGTTTGTTAAAAAAATGCAATACAACTGTTTGGTTTGCTCCTGACACAATAAATAAATAAATTTGCCTTACTCTGTTCATGGAACTCACTGGGTATACCTTTAAACTGAACTGAAAGATTGAGATATACCTCTGTGTGCATGTGTAAGAGAACAAATCAGTTCATATTTGTGAAACCTGAAAAAAAACTATGCCATTTCAACATAATCAGTCTAAGAGTATAAAATAATCTGTTCCAGTATCAGGATGATCTGCCCTTCTCCCACTGAATGAGCATACACCACTACTGCAAAAAGATTCATGAGATATGCCAAACCGAAACAAAAAGGCAGGCAAGAGGCAATAGTAATTGTTAGAACATTATTCTATTAAAACATGCATAGCAGCTTATAGTATTAACAATTTATCATAAACAGAAAGACCGTGACAATCTTCCCATGTTATATATCCCAAAAGAACATTAACACGCAGCAGCTGTTGAACACAAATAGATTTGATTTAATTGAATTTTGGCCCAATCATCTTGGAAAATAATCCTACATGCATTTTTCTCTTTCTGGAAGCAATGAAAATATATTAGAAACACACAAGGCAAGTTACCTCCGAAGCTTTCTGTTTCACTTCCTGGCATACTGCGTCACATTCTAATGAAACCTGGCCTTCTTGAAGCTTGCTACACAACATTTCCTAGAAGCAAGGTTATTAAAGTTAAAAAAAAATCATTACATAAGTCTGATAGGAAAACATATATCTCAAAATACTGTTTCATATATTAAAAAACAAGAAATCCACTCTTGATATTTGATCTCATGGTAACTACAGTGCAAATTATATCACTATTTCACTAGAATTTCATTGGCAAAACACTGACACTTGTAAATTACTTTTGGAGATAGAGAAGTTGGTACCTTTGATAAATCATGAGGTTGGGAAATAGGCAGGATAAGCTGCCACCTCCTCAGTGTTAAGAGAACCAAAGCAGCTACGAGGGGTATTTTTAAAGTAAGGTCCATTTTGTTGTAGACACTAGTAGTTCGCGCGCATACCGCAACGCACACGTGCGTCGTGTACCGGCATGCCTCGGGAACAATTGTGCTCAGTTTCCGCTCTGTAGCTAACCTGTACGGTTCTGTTCTGTGCTTTAAAAATGTTTAAGACTATCAACTCACCCGCCACATGTGAGGTTCGCTCAGTGATACGGTTTTTGTCAGCAAGGAACCTGCCTGCTGCAGAAATTCAACAGATTTGTGAAGTGTACGGTGATACTGTTATGAGTGAAAGCAAAGTGCGTAAGTGGGTACGACAATTCAAAGATGGCCGTGACAACGTCCATGATGAGGACCGCTCCGGTCGCCCTTCTTTGATTACAGTGAACTCTTGGTTATCGGAGCAGGCGGCAAGTTTTTATGAAGAGGGTATTTTAAAATTGGTTCAGAGGTATGATAAGTGTTTGAACAAACTTGGCAACTATGTCGAAAAATAGAGTGAAGTATGTACTTTCTGAAAATAAATTTACTTTTTTGAAATAAACTTTCGTTGTGTACTTATGTTCAAACGGACCTTACTTTAAAAAAACCACTCGTATTTCTCCTCTTAAAAAGGAAGCAGAAGTGGAATAATACTATCTTTCAATCATAGCTAAACAACTGGGAATGGGCCAGAGCATTCTATGCTTCCATCTTGGAATGATTTTTTTAAATCCAAATGTAACGGCAGTCCAAGAGATAACACAGTATCGATATTTACCAAAGTGAAATTACTGCCATTTCCCTACCTAAGTAGTGGTTTTAATTAGGGATTTGGCTCCAGTTAACCCATATTCTTTAATCTGGGAATCTAGCTTGTAATGCATTTTGTTAATTTGTACCTTTTCACCATAGGCTTTTTCTGGATTATAAACTGCATCAAATCTAGAATGAGTAATTAGAGTATAGCTCTTTCTTAAAGTGTATCATATGTACACAGACTGACAGTATGCCCTATTTTGTAGAAGGAAGACCAATATCCGAAGAGCTGTACAGTGCAAGTCTAGTTTGAAGATACGAAGTAGTAGTAGTAGTAGTTCTGGTGTACAAAACCCCTGACGTCATGACTGTGGGAAAAAAACCAAAGTATGGATCGTCTATGTTGCAATCCCAGGTAAAAGCAGAACTGATGAAAAGCAACTAGAAAAGGTTTCTGGAGGATTTAAAGACAGAGCTGCAAAGACTCTGGCACAATCCAGTGAAGGTGGTCCCAGTGGTGATTGGCACACTGGGTGCAGTGCCTAAAGACCTTAGCCTGCACTTAAAAACCATCGGCGCTGACAAAATTACCATCTGTCAGATGCTAACGGCCACCCTACTTGGATCTGCACACATTATTCACCGATACATCAAACAGTCCTAGACACTTGGGAAGTGTTCGACATGTGATCAAATACAGAAGTCAGCATAGTGATCTTGTCTGCTGTGTACTAATCTTGTTGTGTATCAAATAATAGCAATAAAACTTTATTTATATCCTTCCCTATCTCCACTTCTGACCAAAAGGTCATGAGTTCGAAGCCAGCCCGCGTCGGAGTGAGCTTCTGACCAATTGTGCAGCTTGTTGTCGACCTTTGCAACCCGAAAGACAGTTGCATCTGTCAAGTAGGAAAATTAGGTACCACCTATGTGAGGGGAGGCTAATTTAACTAATTTACGAGGCCATTAAAAAAAAGACTCCAGCAAAGCACTCCAGCAAAAGCATGTGTGGAATGCAGAAGTACTTTATCAGTGTCGCAGATGGACGATGAAAGCAACAGCTCCCCTGGCGGCCAGAAAAGTTAAATAGCCTCTGACTGTCTGTCTATATGTGTTGTGTGTCTTTGGCATTGAATGTTTGCCATATATGTGTCCACTGTAATCCACCCTGAGTCCCCTGCGGGGTGAGAAGGGTGGAAGATAAATACTGTAAGTAAATAAGTAAGTAAACAGCAGCAAACATTCAATGCTGTAAAATGCAACCAGAAATAAAACCAGCATAAATCAAATAAAGCATATTAAACAACAACATCAAACAATAGCAAGGCATTACAACAAATTAGGGATGAAATAACTAAAAAATTACGATGTAACAAATGAACATTTAGGGACAAGACCTAAAATTGGGACTAATGAAATTTTAAAGCTGGAGTTTTTGGGATTTTTAATCAGTTTTATGGATTTTTACTGTTGGTTTTTAATTAATACCAATAGTGTACCATTCTGTTGTCATGTTTGCATATTTTTGGATGTCAAATGGTAATTAAATACTTTTGTAAGAAGAGGGCACAGTACCTATATCTATAGGACTGCTACTTGCAATTTCAGTTACCTGCATCCAAAACAAAAAGTATTTCTTAGGTCTTCCAGCATGATTCTATGGTATGCTTACACTGGAAATTGGTCACAGAATCGTACTGGAAAACTTAGAAATGTGATAGAGCTGTTCTCTGTACACATTGTGTAGTACTCCAGCATGATTCTATGGCATGCTTCCATCGTAAGTCAACCATAGAGTCCTGATGGGGGACCAAGGAAAGCTAGAGTTATGTTCTTTCTCTACATTTCTATTCTGATTCCACTGGAAGTTTTTCATTTCAAAAGGATTAACTATTATCCGCAGTTTCACATTTACATGGGAAGTCTTCAGTGTGTTTCCTGCAGATAAGTGATTCAGACTACATGACTTTCCTAGGAAATCTTGCAATGCAAAATGATAAAATTATTTCTTTAAAGCCCTTTTTTTTATACCTGCACTAATCAACAACAAAAATGCATACACAGAAAGGATCTTTCTTCTATGTCACAGGACTTCACTGCTTAAGGTTATAAAACATAAAACAGACTCTTTTGAAGTATAATACAATTCTACATTTGACTAGGAATTGAATAGTTGCTTTTCTTTAGTGTCATTCATTGGTTTGTTCTAGGCAGAAAAATTATGATTATAGGCCATATTTTTAGCATGTGAGGTGGCAAAGCAGGAATACAAATAAATGCAAAACATTGACTGTTTTAGGAGCTTTTTCTCAATAAATACCATCTGTATCAAGGCAGTGCATTATTCAGAAAATATAAAGAAATTCATTCATTAGAAAACAATGTTCTCATGATGCCAGGTGATTATGTTTATTTAAGCATTTGTGCCCACATGAGTAAGAGATATGTGTCTAGTAAACATGGATGCTGCTGCTGCTGATCTTACCCATTAATGCTGATGCTTCATGAACTTTCATTGATCAAATGACCAGCCACTGCCAGAAGGGACAGAGAGTTTCATCTTTGCTGATGATCATGTCATCACCACTCAAGCAGAGAGCTTTGAAATGGTTGAACAAAAGTTCTCCAAAACTTTAGGTGCTTTAACTGCCTACTACAGAGAAAACCAGCTGATTCCTAATCCATCTAAAATGCAGACGTGTGCTTTTCATCTTAAAATCAGACAAGAATCTTGAGGTCAGAAGATTACCTAGGAAGGAATCCTACTGGAGCATTGCAGCGCATCCAAATACCTGGAAAACACCTTGGACCATGCTCTGGCTTACAAGAAGCACTGCTTGACTATCAAGCAAAAAGTGGGTGCTAGAAATAATATCATATGTAAGCTGGCTGGCACAACCTGGGGATCACAACCAGATACAATGAAGACATCTGCCCTTACACTTTGCTACTCTGCTGCTGAATATGCATGCTCAGTATGGAATACATCTCACCATGTTAAAACAGTGGATGTGACTCTTAATGAGACATGCCACATTATCATAGGATGTCTACGCCCGGCACCGCTGGAGAAATTATACTGCTTAGCCCAGGGGTCTTCAAACTAAGGCCCGAGGGCCGGGTACGGCCCTCCAAAGTCATTTACCCGGCCCTTGCTCAGTGTCAACCTAAGTCTGAAACGACTTGAAAGCACACAACAACAACAACCCTATCTCACAAGGCAAAAGTAGGCCCACACTTCCCATTGAAATACTAATAAGTTTATAATGGTTAAAATTGTTCTTAATTTTAATTATTGTATTATTTCAAAGTGATATTTGCATGCACTACAAATAAGATATGTGCAGTGTGCATAGGAATTCATGTTTTTTCAAATTATAACCCGGCCCTCCAACAGTTAGAGAGACTGTGACCTGGCCCTCTGTTCAAAAAGTTTATGGACCCCTGGTTTAGCTGATATTACTGGCCTGATGCCTGATAGTAGCAGCCAGCAAGGCATTGACATCTCTGTCCCATTCTCTGTTCGGATATGAGCCAACACGGCAACACCATAAATCAAGAAATAGCTTCCTAAGATCTACAGAGATATTCACAGGAACACCTCAGCAAGCAAGAGTCCAAAAGTTGCAGGCTAAAACCTGGAACCTCAATCAGTGTGGCTACAAAGTGGAGTCAATGACATGCGAGTGTGGAGAAGAGCTTGTGGTTTTTTATACATTATAACTGTAATCTCAATCTGCTTCTAACACGATAAATAAATAAATGAACTTTCAATAAAGCTGATTCTGCTCTTCTCCTGCTTACCTCTCTTAACAGCATTCACTTTCTAAGAAACAACTGCTCCAGATACAAGAACTATCACTGGACCATTAACTATGGGAATTATTTTAAGAATGTTTTCTTTTTTCTTCAGCACCTGACTGTTCAATGTGCTTCAACTTTTCCTTGGTCTTTCTTCCAAATCAATAGTGTCTATATTCAAGTCTAATTCAAATTTTATCTTATTTTCCATGCTTTCCTTCAACTGCAATGCATTACTTGTATTAATCAAAGCTTCCTTTCTTTCCATTCTAAGCTTTCCACCACTGCTCATTCTGTATATCATACTTTCTCTCTGTCTTTCTCTTTCTCTCTCTTTTTTGTTGCAAAAAAAGATTACTAGTTGTGTCCGTGATTCCCTTCAGAATAACAGAAGTGCCACTAAAAATGCTCTCAGGCAAAACATAATAATGCTATGTAAAGGAAACCATCTATCCATTATATTGTCTACTTCAGGGGTGATGATGACACTGAAATTGCATTGAGATGTGGGGAATGTCTGCTGTAAAATGCATTAAGGATTCATAAGTTTAGCAACTGTTCCTGGCCCAATTTTTTATGTAATTTAATCTGTCTTTTCCTGATCCCTTGTCAGGAAAATGTATTTCCTCTCTTAAGCTAAAGTATACCATATATTTCCCAGTAGAATTATGTATGTTTAGTAGAATTAATTTCTTTTAAGGCTATTGTTCCTACGTGACAGCCTGTAGTCTCAAACTGTATGTTTTTGGAAGCCAAACTTTCAAGTAGCAAGTTTTGCTTCATTGAAATTCCAACTTTATATCAATGAAGATCTAGCATTCTGAAAGTAACATCTATTGTATAGCTTTTATTTTCAAGTTAGGGTGTTTTTGTTTCCTCTGGCATCTTTATATTTTGCTTTGCTCGTTGGAAGACTACCGTATCTTAAAGAATGGAAATGAAGGATGAGATTCTGTTTAAAAATATAGAGATTTATTTATTTATTTATTTATTTATTTATTAACTTCTTTTGTATACCGCCTATATCAGCCAAGGCGACTCTAAGCGGTTTACAGTGAAAACAACATTTAACAATGCAAGTGACAAACAACACAAACAAAACACATAACGTCATCGGCCTCAATAAAATCAGATCCAATCTCGTAGTCCATTAGCCATTCCTTGTTCAGAGTGCCATTCTTGTGAGTCTGATGTTAGTTGCCTGCTCATCCGAACAAAGCAAATGCTAGACCAGTGATAGAACAGAATGGTATGGATGGTAGCTTCCCAGTACAAAACATGGACTGTCAGTGGCCATTCCGATTACATAGGGTGGAACTGGCCATATCTGCTGAATGACTTGTAAAGTGGCTCATTTCACTGTAAGCAAATGGGAAACCGCTTGTAAAGGGATATTGATATACTCTTACACAAACTTACACGAACTAAGGCAGAGACACCTCCAGCTCATCTCCTGTTTGGGTATCAGCCAGCACGTCAATGACTTAAATCTAGAAATAGTTTTCTAAGATCTACAGAGACACTCGCTGGAACACCTCAGCAAGCGAGAGTCCAAAAGTGGCAGGCTCAAACCCAGAACCTCAACCAATGGCTGATACCAAATGAGAGACTCCCCCCTGGGCACACAGAGGACTGGGCGACTTGGAAGGCGCTGAACAGACTGCGCTCTGGCACCACAAGATGCAGAGCCAACCTTCAGAAATGGGGCTACAAAGTGGAATCCTCGACATGCGAGTGTGGAGAGGAGCAAACCACTGACCACCTGCTGCAATGCAACCTGAGCCCTGCTACATGCACAATGGAAGACCTCCTTGCAGCAACACCAGAAGCACTCCAAGTGGCCAGATACTGGTCAAAGGACATGTAATCAACTACCAAACTCACAAATTTTGTATTTTGTCTGTTTGGTTGGTTTGTTCTGTTAGAAATGTAATATAATTTGACTGTCCTGACACGACAAATAAATAAATAAACACGAACTAATAAAAATCTCAGCAATCAGCAATTAGGAATTATACTGGCACAGTGTCTCAAAAAGGATTCCAGTCAAATCATTACTCTGCTGCTCTAAATGGCATTTCTGTTATTTATTTTTATTAACTTACTCTCATTTTCTTTTCTTTTTTATTTCCACTGTAAGTTGTCTTTTGATAAACAGTTATAAAGGGTAGTATACACATGTTTGAAATTAAATATTAAAGTAAATGTAAATTAAAAGTGAGTAAAACAGAAAATTTACCTTTTTGAGCCTTTTGCAAGGACAGCGGACCTTGACTTTTTGGTTGCAATTCTGAGGGCAGTCACTTGGATGGCAAATTTCTTTACATCGATGACCACAGGATAGCTGCAAAGAGAAGAACATTTTAAAAACTTCCCATGAATTGGCAGTGGCACAAAATAGTATTCAAGTCTGCTAAAAACAAAGGCTTGATTTCTACTGATATACATTTACTCTTTACAAATGAGGGCCAGTGTTCAACAATACCATTTTATTTCAGGAAAATATCACTGTGCACCCCAATTCTTCAGGCTATGTACAGGACATTCAACATTTCTAGTTACACAACCAGGAGCTGCAGTGGCGCAATGGGTTAAACCCTTGTGCTGGCTGAACTGCTGACCTGATGGGAGTCTGGGTGTCAGCAAAAGGTTAAGGAAGCACCCTATACGGTCCATTATGGGACCACAGCCTCCCCTTTCATATCCTTCATTAAGACCTAGATTAAAAGAATCACAGTTAAGATACCCCTCTTTCTGCAATACTTATGTCTGTAGAGGAGACTGGGTTTAATTCTTCGTTAAAACTGTTTCTTTCTACCCTAGAGATCCTTTCCCTTCTCTGTCTATAGAGGAGACCAGGTTTGGTGCATCTTAAAACTGTTTCTTTCTGCTCTAGAGGAAACAGGCTGCAGGAGTACACACTCTCTCCCTGTGTGCAGCTTTCCAAGGCATGTAAGGAGGCTTTTCATTTCCCAGGGAAGAAAGAGTGATCGACCTGAGCCTATCTCCCCGGGCTTCCTTAAAAAGCCCCTCTTTTTGCTCTACTGCAGACCCTGTCTGGAGTGGGCAGGCACTCTTCAATTTCCAGGTTTAATGCTTCCTTAAATCTGTTTCTACTTTCTACTCTAGAGGAGAGGTAACTAGGTGGTAATAGTTTTCAAAGAATGAGGGTTTTCTTTTTGTTTGCTGAGATTAATAATTATTATCTTTTAGAAATATTTGAAGGAGAGGAAGGGAAGGAGGGGGGAAAAGCCAAAAGGGTGACTTTCCCAAGCCCCCACCCACCAGTTTCCACACGTCCCCGGCTCCTAGTCAGCCTGACTAAATAAAAAGAATCAAGAAAATAAAGGAAAATAAATTAAAAAGATTAAACTGTGGTGCCAAACAGGGGAGGAGGAGCCGAGATTGGCTGCCACATGGTCCCATTTTGGGCGGGAATCCGTGACGGCTGGCCCCTTGCCATTACTGGCACCCGAACAAACCGAAAGAGCCGAATTGGCCAGAGGAAATGGCTAAAAATCAATTCAGTCTCAAGCCTACAGTTATTTACATGTGAAAATAAATGTTGCCTTTGTATAGTACCCTCTATACAAAGGCGACATTTGTTTTCACATGCAAATGACTAGTATTTCAAACTATTAAATTGATTTTATAATTTTTATTTCACATTTCCCAGAATAATTTCTACAGTAAGATTATAATTAAACATGGGATCTTCCAAACATTAATCTTTTTTAAGAAAATAATAAACTTTGTTTCAAAATTTTCTCTGATATAAACAAGAATATATATATTTGATTTTTATTCCAGTCCACAGAATATTCTAACAACAGAAGGAAGGATGTGAAATTTACATTGCATTTTAGGGTTTATAACGATAATTTTGTTTCCAGTAGGCTGGAAAATAAGTATCTTAAGATAATCATTTTTACAGTGTAAGTTTTCAGCTCTGTGGTGCCATAATTTTTTTTAAAGGGGTAATAATTGTTTTAATATTTACAATGACTGTCTTTCACATTTGCCAAGACTAGTAAATGTATTTTTATGGCAATACTGAGAGTACTACTGCATTACATACCCTATAATATTTTACAGAACCATATGAGGGCATAATTTCAAGGTCACTGATTTTAGAAAAGAAGGTTATCTGTCCTTATGTTTAAAATGTATGCTTAACTAACACCATCTGTACATTTTTGTAATGGTTTTCTACACTGATCTTGATTTCTATAGGCTGATTTACACATATTGCGTGACATATAGAAATAACTCAAGCTTGGAAATGAGGGTTTTTTTAAAAAAAAACTAGTTGCAGTAATTTCAATTATAAAAAGTCATTTCGGAGTCATTAGCTACCATGCCAGTTATTTTTATTAGAAAGAAAAATAACCATTCATTTGCTGATTTCTTAGAAGTAATTAACCGAAATGTCACAAATTAGTAACTCAGTGTATAAAACAAACGTAAGTGAATACAACATTAGAAATGGAATACATATACATAGACAGTGGTTGAAATTTAATATGTTTCCATAGTTATAAGAGATTGGCATAATAATAATATGCCTAGACCCATCCTGTATCTAAAATGTCAAAAAATGCCTTCAAATATTCTTAGAACTTGAAAAACTACATTTAAAATGCTATTGTTGAACTCAACTCTATTCTGCACCAGAAAAAAAACGTTATTTACTGGGCCCCTATTGAGCCAAACGCAAATAATTTCTCAAAAGTAACACTGGAAAATCTCGACAAAATATTCTGAAAATATCCTATTTGCATGACTACAAGACTTCTAGTTTCCAAAATTACAATATCAACATTTTAGGGTTTTTATTAAATGAGATGTTTTGCATACAATCGCAGATAATGTAGCAAACATATGACTATGTGCTTTGTGAGTATGTAACAGTTATAATACATTTTGCATATGGATTTACGAACTTGTACAAGTCAGTATTTATATTTTAAAAGTCTCTAGTGAAATGTTAACAAAATTGAATAATGTCTGCCTAGTAACTGAGCTTACTCGCTCCCTAAAGCCAAAGGAAATGTGATATCGACAAAAGTTAACACTTGTACCAGACAGTGAAAGCTCTTTCTGTGTTATATATTTCCGTAGCCAAAACAAAACTCTCTAACTTTTCAAGGTTCAAGATTTGAAGGTAAAGCTTATATCTTATAAACACTGAGACTAGATACAATTTTTCATAATTCCCTATAGTAATGTCACTTTAAAATTCAGCTTGAAACAGACTATAGCAATACCAATTTGAATCTATATAAATAAAAATGTAATGTTCGTTTGTGGGATTAACAGAACTCAAAAACCACTGGACGAATTGACACCAGATTTGGACACAAGACACCTCTCAGGCCAACAAGTGACCATCACTCATAAAACACTGAAAAAAACAGCAGAAGGGACTTTAAAAAGCAAAAAAAAAAATTACAACGCATACACAAAACCACATATATATACACAAACACACATATATACACACATATATGCATACACACACAAAACACACAGAAAGGAGGAAGGAAGGAAGGAAAGAAAGAAAGGAGGAGGGAGAGAAGGAAGGAAAGAAGGGTAGAGAAGAAAGGAAGGAGGGAGAGAAGAAGGAGGGAAGGAAAGAAAGAAAGTTAGAGAGGAAGGAGGGAGAGAAAGAGGGAGAGAAGAAGGAGGGAAGGAGAGAAGGAAGGAAAAAAGAAGGATAAGGAAGGAAGGAAGAAGGAAGGAAGGAAGGAAGGAAGGAAGAAGGAAGGAGAGAAGAAGGGAGAGAAAAGGAAGAAGGAAAAAAAAAGGGAGAAAGAAGGAAGGAAGGAGAGAAGGAGGGAGAAAGAAATAAAAAAGTGAAGAGGAAGGAATGAGAGAAGGAACGAAAGAGAGAAAGAGGGAGGGAAGGAAGGAGACAAGGAAGGATGGAACCAAAGAGCAAAGGAAGCGAGAGAAAAAACAGGCAGAGAAAGAAGAAAGAAGAAGGGAAAGGAAAAGAGGAAAGGAAGGAAAGAGGGAGGGAAGGAAGGAGAGAAAGAGGGAGGGAAGGTTGGCCACAGCAACGCGTGGCGGGTACAGCTAGTAACTTATAGTCTCTTTTATGCATATCTCAAGCCCAGTCTACATTGACCACTTAGGTCATTGTGAGGATGGGTCAGCACCATACACTATGGGAGCTAATCCAGGTTAACCCAGGAGGTGATGCTTCTACAGGGGGGCTGGCCCAAGTTAATCCAGAGAAAGCAGCTTAATGTGTTTTGCACTCCTGGTTTGTTGCACCTCAGAGTAGAATCACCTTGCTGAAGAACACCAAACTGCACACAGCCAGTAGTCTTTAGGGTTTATTAAAACTAAAAGGTAAAAAGTTCTTAAAAGCAAAGGCAATGTTTCAATAGATCAGAATAACATAGCACTTGAAGCATAATCCAATAGGCATCACCAAAGCAAGATCCAAGAGAACATGACAAAATCCTGGAACCATGCACACAAAGACTGGAAGGTAAATCAAGCCTAGCTTAGCCAAACTCCTTAGGTAAACGCGAAAGTTGCTTTGACAAAGATCTGGTCTCAAACCTACTGTTTAATACCCTTTGCAAAACATGAAGGCGTTTCTTTGGCTTCTGGCCTCCCTCTTGTTAGCTATCCTTTCACTCCTTCGAACACGGAATTCCAACCGGGTGGCCCTATCTAAAGTTCCCGTATCATCAAGGTCAATCTGCTCGTTAGCACCCTGTTTTCCTGCTTGCTCATTATCAGGCTGAGAACTAGGCAAAGAGCTATCCTCTCTTTCGGAGTCAATCTGCACCTGGCTGCTATCTTCAGTTTCTACACTCTCATGCCTTGCTGTGGGAAACTGCACTTCTTCTTCACTATCTATAGCAGGGACATCTATAGCAGGGGCATCTTGAACCAAACTGTGAACCTGAGTCCCATCATCCTCATCAGAAACACTCTCTGATTCCAGCTGTGTCACAACATGGTTAAGCTAACCCGGTGGAAAACCAGACTCCTAAAGCAGGAGTGAAATAAGATCCAGTTGTCCTAACAGCCATCCTGTACTCCATGGGCTAAAGTGGACTGGGGGACATGGGGTGGCTGTCTTTACCACACCTTCCTTCTATTTCCATTGCTGAGGGCTTCCTCTTCCATGTTGCATAACATGTGAAGGAGGATGATAGGAGAGAGGGGGGAAAGCAACACAGAAGAAGCCCTAAAAATAAAGTAGGTTGTCCTGTTGCTGTGTAACCAGCGACGGCACTGGGACAGGGGTAGGGGTAGTGTTCAAGTACTCCTGATTTGTGTCTCATATGCCGGGCACTAATAAAAGGAAATGGACCCAATGTTTTTGAACCCCTTTCCAGGTCTTAAGTTAACATTCTTTGCTTTCCCCCAAGTATAGATCAATATCATAAATAATAAACAAAAAGGACTGATAATATTCAATATATGTGAAAAGAGACAAAGTCTCTGGATACTGAACAAAGTAATGATTTTATTCACATCTACTTTGTAAACTATCAATTGCCAGGCATAAGCTTTGGTGACACTCTTTTTAGAATCCCCACAGGTTGACTGCATTCCTTTGAAGGCGGCCATAAAATTATTTTCATGCTACAATGTGTTGGGCTATTTTCAAGATTTTTCTTTAAACCCTGAGACTGGCTCTTTTCAAGATTGCACAATTACGTAAGTGGCCTACCTCTTTTGGACACTGATTTTTACAGGAACTCAGCTCCTCCTTTTCCTTTAGATTGGCAGAAGTGATTTTTCTAAAATAAAATAAAATATAGAAAGATTATCATTGTGAAATTAAAAAAGAAACAACCTATAAGATAAATGACCCATGGATTTTGACCACTGTCAAGACAGATTTAATACACACAGCCCCTAAAAATATCTCCCAATTGCAGGCAGTGCCCGAGTGACAAACACTGACAAACAACTCATAGTTAAGAACGGGGGTGAAACAGGAAGTGAGAAAAATGTACCCCTTGGAAGGGAAATTCACTCCTGAAAGAGTTATCATGGGGAAATGGTTCTTCACTGAAGTTTTCTCACCAATCTTCGTTTCAACAAGCCAAATTTTTCAAAATCCAATGATCACAGGGACAGAAAGTGAGGTGAAATCTTTTGAACAGGAGCACAGACAGAAAAACAAACACTACAGGGGTGTTAATCCTTCTCTATGCTATCCAAAGCTTGTGTGTCTGTGTGTGTGTATGTGTATGCGTGTGTATATGTATATTATATATATATATATGTGTGTGTGTGTGTGTGTGTGCGCACACACACACACATACACATACATACACACACACACACACACACACACACACACACATATAGGCTGGAGTTACACTTAAAAAAATCTTGTTTGTATATTAATTTTGGTAAACAGCAAAATGAATCCCTGGGTTGTCTTATCCAGGTCGGTGTGAGTACGGTACTATAACTTCTATCAAAAAAGAAATCATCACCCTCCCTGAGCAGAAGAGTAAAAGACAAGGGCTCGGTCTATTACAAGAGAACCTTACAAAGCACAGATCAAAAAAGCACCCTCAGCTCTCTCCGCCTTGGTACTGCTTTTGGTCTTTTTAATGCCTGAGCAGGAAAATGGTGGCGGGGACCAAAGGAATCCAGCCCTCTGAGGTGGCATTGCTGTTTTCCTCCACCGAAGAGTGACCCCCAGTTTATTCACAGGTGATATCAAAATCCATAATTTTGTCCCTCAAACCTACCCTCAACTTATATATCAGGTCAACATATATGTGATCATATACGGTATGTTGAATCCAGAAGAGAAGAGTAAAAAATATCACACAAAAAAACAACAACACAAAAAACCCTTGGAGCAAACTTTACATTCATTTTTTGAATCTTACTTGTGCAACACATTACATATACCAAATAGAAGTAACATGGTAACGGCAATGAGCAAAATTGTGGTAAATGATATGCCCCACTACTTACTTTGATCTGGAACAAATACTGTTCTTAATCTTTTGATCTGCCAATTGATTAGACTCTCACTGTTTAACACACCCCCAATACAAATTCTGAAAAAGTTCTGCTATCATATAGAATCATAGAATAATACAGTTGGAAGAGACCCCATGGGGCATCTAGTCCACCCCCCTGCCATGCAAGAAAAGCACAATCAAAGTCTTATATGATATCCTTATAACCCCCCTCATACCTGCCTCTGATTGCAGAGGGCTTACATGTGGTGAAGCTTTGAAGTAAATTCCTTTTACAGATCTAAGTGTATTTTACAACTATAGGTCACTATTGAAACATGATACTGTTGTTATTAACCTGAGACCCACTATGTGGCAAACACAGTTCCTTCCAATTAAATGTTTCTACTTGCAAAGGATTCCTGTATCTGTTTTGAATAAAAAAGGAAATCTGTCTTAATACAGCTCCATATATACCACGAGTGATATCTGAAATGTCCAAAGTTGAAACCAATGATAACATACATGCATTCAATATAAAGACTTGATAGTTTGCAGTGACACTTCATCCGAATCATCTGGGCACACGATGGGCATTCTCCAGGATGGCAAGGCAAAGGGCAAGAGTGAGGGCATCCAGGTGGCCGTGGCTTGGAACATTCTTCTTCACACTGAGAACACTCTGGACCTGCCTGGTCAAAAAAATTAAAATAATTGAATTATTTGCTTTTTAGACAGTCAATTTTTTAAAAAATTCTATGTGTGTTTTAAAAAAACCTCTTAATCTTTCCAAATGACATCTTCCAAAATATTAGCTTGGATTCCGTGCTTATGCATGTCCCTCTATATGTATCGGAGAGAGACCGAGGCCCCATCTATATTGACCATGTAATGCAGTTTCAAACAAGCATGGAAGAAAACAGTTTTACCGTGCAAACAATGACATAGAAAATCATCTTTGGGGTGAGAATTATGTGGTCCTCTAGAAACTATTAGACTGGAATCCTCATTCATGGCTATATTGGCTAAGTCTACTGGGACTTGCAATCTAAAGACATCTGGAAGGCAACCATGACTCCTAATGCTGATCTGCCTGGTCTGTTCATGTTTATTACTATATTTCTCTCCTGCTCCATCTCACCCCACATTATACATAAAAGAAAAAAGCAAATTCATGACATAGTTTGCTAAAAACCAATAAACATAAATACGAATTAAAAACCATTAAAACATATTAAACATATTAAAATATCGTAAAACATATTGAACATTGCACCAGTTTCATAGTAATCTTTTGGCTGCTTCATTTGTATCAGTATCATAATGAAATATTATGCTACAATTTTATCACTTGCCGAACACCTGCCTATACAGTCAAGTTTTAACCTTTTTCTTAAATACTAGAAGAGAGAAGGCTCATCTGATCTCACTGGGGAGGGAGTTCCACAGCTGAGGGTCCACCACCGAGAAGGCTGTTGGGTGAGTGTGTCTTTATTAATGAAAGACCCTCCTCATAAATGTACAGCAGAGTAATTTATCAGCAGCAGTGTGATCCAGCACAAGTAGCCAAATTGATAAAGAGAACAGAAATACACAGACCAATGTTATCTTCCATAGGAGGCTTTTCTTTAAAGCAAAATAATATGATTGTACTATTTACAAGAACAAGGTTTCCATGACACAAATAAAGTTCAACCTTCACACTGGAGCTCCACTCACAGAATAAGGTCTATCTCACACAGAGGCTTCTCTCACAGACTAAGGCCTACCTCACACTGTGAGGCCTTCTCACAGACTGAGTCCTTTCTCCCACTTTGGCAAACTTACACAGAAGCCTACTAAGCTACAGGCACACCTGCCTACATGGAACTGCAGCTTTTGCTATGTCACCGCATCCATTCAAGCCTTTCAGTGCTTCACTTTCATTTTTGTAATTAAAAATACCTAGTTAATTTTTAATATTCCTGACAAAGGCCCTGTCCCTTGTTCCCATCAGTCACACCTGTGAAGGCGGTGGGGCCAAGCAGATCTTAAAGCTCAAACTGGTTCATAAAGGGAGATACGTTTGGACAGGTAAATTGGGCTTGAACCATTTAGGGTTTTATAGGCTAGAGCCAGTACTTTGAATTGTGCTCAGTAGCAGACTGGCAACTAGTGGAGCTGGTGTAACAAGGGGAGTTATATGCTCCCTGTACCTTGCTCCAGTGAGCAATCTGGCTGCCACCCGTAGGACTATTTGAAGTTTCCGAACACCAACATTCACAGAAGAAATCCCTAAAATAACTAAAATGGTTCTGGAAAAAAGCTATGCACAACTGTCTTCACTCATCTAAGGAAGGCAGACTAGAAGCAGAGAATGTTAGGACTTAGCTTCTTTCCATCAGTTTCAGTAATGCAAAATTTAATCAGTGTTCTATTTGGAAACTAATTTTAACACATACTTTGATGAAGTTTTCAAAGTATACAAAATAAGGAAATAAACAGTACACAATGTGGTTATCTAATATGTACACAGAGCAGCGCCAGTAATTGTAGTTTGTAAGCAGCCAACGGAGTTCTCTCAAAGTACTGTGGTGATTCTTGTTAGTAAGAATCGTAAAAATGAAAATAAGGCTGAAATAAAGTTTATGATAAAAACTATTACAGAACATTAACCGTCAGAAGGAAAAGAAAATGGGGAAACTGGGACACCTCTGGTTACAGTGGCCAGTTGTAAGAAAGAACACCCTACTTGCTGGCAATTGGGACAGGGGCACACCTGTTTGGAAGAAAGAATAAAGTCGCAAAATTTTGTTGCAGGTCCAGCTTGTTTTTTCAATTCATTAATCAAACTAGTTTGCACTAAATTCCAAAAGGATAATGAAAACAGAAGCTGACATAAGGTGGAGAATGAGGGAGGAAATGTTAATGTCATCAAATGCCAAATCTCAGAAAGGTTAACACGAACCAAACCATTATGCAATTTTGAGTATGGCATTTGAACAAAAAGCAAGCACTTTCTTATTGCTTTTTATCTGCAAAGTCCTGGGCAAACATTAATTTAAAGTCACAAAGGTGCCACTGCTCAAAATATATTGGATGAGAGAAGCTCAAACAGAAAATAACCATGCTAAAACATCTTCTTTTTAAAGCTTCGGCCCAACGTACACAGTGCCATAAAGCATGACTGATAGCAAAATATATGTTCTTCGTCAATAAGAACCTCTAATTTTTATACCTGTATGATCTTTTGAACAAATAATGTTTTAGGACAACAGCATGTTCTAGAAATGGCTAAAAAAGTGTATCTTAGAATAACTAAGCAATCACACAGCCATCACACTAGACAATCTTAAAAGGTTAAATATCTTTATTTGTATCTACTGTAACCAGGTTTCAAATTACTTCAGCTTGGTAATTTACTTAACAGATTCTAGTCTGCGTTAGTATGCTCTCCAGGAAACAAGTGCCATTTCCTCAAGTGTTTTAAATTAAAAGAAATCTCATTAGGGAATGACAGATATTTGGAGACACATATACATAAACCAACTGAAGCCGCAGCTGGCTTTCATTCACAAGACAGGCTTGCCAAAGTTCTGTTCGGCTCCTCTACTCCTAACCTTTAAATGTACAAAATTCTTTTAAAAATATATGTTTCAACATAGAAGCTGTTAGCTGTTAATTTTTTATTTTAAAATGTTAACTTTTCGGAAAATGAGATGTTGAAGTAGATACTTTACGACCTCTCCACAGGACTGCAGGTTTATGTGTCTGTCCCATTCCCCCATCTCACGAGCTTTATATGTACCTTCCAGAGAGCTAATGTTTGAATTATAAGCTGTGTATGAAGCCAATCTTGGATGAAAACCCAAAGTATAAATTTACCTACTAAGCAAGCATGACTCAGGGGCTGGGAGAAGAAGAGACACGTACTAGCAAGGTGAACATCAGATAGTAAGGTGGATGATGGCCAAGCACAAAATCCTGTTGTTACATTGTTAGGATAACTACATGAAAGTAGGCAAGGACAAGGGATGGGGCGGCATGAGTGCAGTGGTAGTGAAGGGAAAAAATAGGGTGCTTGAAACTGTAACACTTTGTTTGTCTTCTTCTGCTATCAATGTGCGATTGTAGAAAAAGTAGAACTGCTAGTAGACAGCGCCAACAGAATTCCAACTGAACAGTTGAGTACACTACTCCGGTAGTAAGTAATAGCTGGTGAATATGCAGTTGCGCCCCAAAATATGAGTTATGACACCACTGTGGTGGATAAAATGGAACAAAAATATCACAGATCCAAATTGACTTTACTGCATGTCATCACATAATAATTACACTCCCCCCCCCCCCACCCTATTGGGGGGAGGGAAGGATGTGTGTGACTATAATGTGATGGCAACTATTACACGGTGAATAAAGCCCCATTTTGGAGGGCACAGCTGCACAAGCACGTGATGCTTCACCCACCCACGTGGATTCAACTCCAAAGGGAACATTTCCTCCAACTCCCCACCCCTCGGCATTCCATCTTTCCCTTTTGAAACTGTATGGCAGGGGTCCTCAAACTAAGGCCCGAGGGCCGGATACGGCCCTCCAAGGTCATTTACCCAGTCCTCGCTCAGGGTCAACCTAAGTCTGAAATGACTTGAAAGCACACAACAACAACAATCCTATCTCATTAGTCAAAAGCAGGCCCACAGTACTAATAAGTTTATATTTGTTAAAACTGTTCTTCATTTTTATTATTATATTGTTTTTAAGTGTTTTTTCCACTACAAATAAGATATGTGCAGGGTGCATAGGAATTCACTCATGTTTTTTTTTTCAAATTATAATCTGGCCCTCCAACAGTTTAAGGGACTGTGACCTGGCCTTCTGTTAAAATGTTTGAGGACCCCTGCTATAGGGCTTGACTTGGCTGGGAGCTGAGGGAAGCCCTATAGCTGCATTATTTCACCTCGTAATAGTCGCATCCCTCTTCTTTTTTTCAAAAACAGCGAGGTGACTATTATATGATGAAATACAGTATATTCCCCATTTCTTCCAAAATGTGACCCAAAGAATGTAACAACATAGATGTAAACAAACTACATTTTTAAAAGGCTAAGAAACATTTAAAAATATTTGTTGTACCACAGTAAAAAGTGATCTAAAAAAGGAAAGTAAAACAGAGAATAGTGGTTCAAGAAGGAATTGTTAAGCAGGGTAAATTAAAATAGCTTCCTTTGCCTTAAATCAATGGCAACTCTAAGGTAAATTTTACTGTAGTCAAGATGGTGGTGGTGTGAACAGCATCCAATATTATTTGCATCTTTAATTGTTGCTGTTGTACGTCTTTGAGTCATTTCTAATTTATAGCAGCCCTATCATGGGATTTTCTAAGCAAGGAGATCTGCCCTTGCCTTTCTCTAAGGCTGAGAGTGTGATTTGCTCAAGATCATCTAGAGGCTTTCTTAACTGAACAGAGGGATTTGAACTCTAATTTCTAAGATAATGTGAGTTCACTAGAGTTATCCATTGGTACTTCAACATATATTCAACACAAATAATTTTTAACAACATCCAACAAGAGAATAAACTATTCAAGGCGATTACATATTTTTTCTGAGTAAAATTTGAAAGTTATAATTATCTCCACATAAAGCTGAAGAATTGCATGTTACATCGCTTAATTTAAAACTCTTTACACTCTGTTACAAACATGGAAAGTTTTGCAAAAAAAGGTTACACTTACCTTTTGGACATCATTGTTACTATCTGTTTCAGTAACTTTATGGCATTCTTTCGTGCAAGTGTGGTTCTGACAATCAAGCAATCTTCCACAATTTCTTTTACAAGAGTAGGGTCCCACAGTATGGCATGGCAGTGGACTGACCTGAAAGATTGAAAATTTGCTTTGAGAATGCAGTTTCCAATATATAAATAGCTTCCGCAAAGCAAGAATTTAAAACATTACATTGACCCTTATATACTTGGACACAATCTCTTCATGGGAGAAAGGTTGGATATAACTTCAATAAACAAACAAATAAGAGCTATGCAGCTATTTTGTTTAAAAACTAACATTCCTTGCCTCCTCCCCTTGCTTTAATAAGCACCTGACCATAATGACAAATAATCCAGAAAGAAACATTATCTTTCTATCCATTAGAAACACTTCAGTGAACTCAACAATTAACGAATGCTAATAGCAACTGGTCTCCACAAACATTTTCTAAAATGGGAGAGACTGCTAAAGATGTAAGGTGTCAGAGTCTATGATCATATATACTTTATACAGTTTATGGTCTGATAACATTGTTAACATCGTGCAATTGGTAAACTCTGCAATTTCTGATGAAAGAGAAGATGGTATCAACATCTTTAACACTTTATTTGGACAAGAAAGATCTCAAAGACACATCTGAAGCAATGTATAAACTATTACCTCTGTAAATATTTTAATATGTTTTAACTGTTTTAAATGTATGTTTTAATCAGACTGATTTTTAAATGGTTTTTAAACTTTCATATCACATACCGTTTTATATTTTCTTTTAAAATCCCACAGGGTCTCATATTGGGAGAAAAGCAGGATGTAAATCACTACATTTATAAATACATAAATGTAATTTTTGCTGTAACAGTCCAAGAAAACAACATTTCTACAAGTATGATTTCACTAAGCATGTTTTGCATAACTTGCAGATCAATAGACATCAAAAGAGATTTAACTACTCCCAGACTATTGGGTGAATGAGAGCAAAGGCATTAATAAACATACTTCCCCAAGTATGTGTAAAAGTTTTTGTGAACATCCTGCGGCTCCTCCACGATGACATGACGGTAACTGTCTGGGACAGCAATAGGTCCCAAAGTGACTCATTTAAGGTGGAATCAGGTGTCAAAACAGGGATGTATTATTGCCTCAACCTTATTTTCCATCTTCATCGCTATGACACTTCATTTTGTTAATAGGAAACTTACCACTGGAATGGAAATCATCTATTGAACAAATGGCAAGCTATTTAACCTCAGCAGACTGAAAGCCAAAACCAAGGTCACAGCAACATCTTTTATAGAACTCCAATATGCTGATGATAGCATAGTCTGTGCGCATTCAGAAGAAGACCTACGAGCCACTCTAAATACCTTTACAGAAGCATAAGAGAAGCTCGGCCTCACATTGAACATCGAGAAAACCAAAGTGCTCTTACAGCAGTCACCAGTCAATCCCTCTGCAATGTCAGAAATACAGCTTAATGGTGTAACATTAGAAAATATTGACCATTTCTGCTATCTCTCCACAAAAGTCAACATTGACACTGAAATACAACACCGCCTGAGCTCTGCAAATGCACCATTTTTCCATATGAAGTAAAGTGTGTTTGGGGATTGGGACATCCATAGGGATACCAAGGTGCTTGTTTACAAAGCTACTGTCCTCCCAATACTGTTATACGGCTGCAAAACATAGACTCTCTATAGACGTCACATTTAACTTCTGGAATGATTCTATCAACGTTGCCTCTGAAAAATCCTGCAAATATCTTGAGAAGACAAGCATGCTGGAAGAACAAAGACCAGCAGGGCTGAAGCGATGCTCCTCTGCTATCAACTCTGCTGGACTGGCCATGTTATCCAAATGCCTGATCACCGTTTCCCAAAGCAGTTAATCTACTCTGAACTAAAGAATGGGAAGCGGAATGTTGGTGGCCAGGAAAAGAGATTTCAAGGTGGGCTTAAAACCAACCTCAAAAACTATGGAATAGACACCAAGAACTGGGAAGCCCTGGACTTTGAGGAATTCTTAACTGGAAGTCAGCTGTGACCAGAAGTGCTGCAGAATTCAAAGAGGCACAAATGGAGGGCGAAAGGGAGCTGCAAAGAGTCAGCGATATTTAATCACTGTAAGGTTTTTTAGATATTTGCATGTCTTAAAATGTAAGATCTGGGGGAGCATGATGAGTTTAAGTGAGCTCTGAGCTCTCCCAGGGTATTATCTCACAACCCTTGCTTCAGGGATTCTTGTGCCATTATAAATCCCAGGTAGAGCAAGAGGGGAGTGGGTAACCCAACCGAGGCCACTTTCCATTCAAGCCTCCTGGTCCAAGGGGGTTGAGAAGTTTCGCATGTGAGATGGTATAGTAGCCCTGATCCTTGTTAAATACCATTGTTTTTAACCATAAGTTCATTTTCAGAGTCCAGGCCCTAGTACTCAATGAGCATTCACCCATTTCTAATAGCAGAACCGCATTTGGTACACAAGAAGCCACATTATAAACCTTGTTTGCATCATGTTTAAGTTTATGGTCAAATTTTCACACTATATTGTTGTGTCAAAGAGGAGTTTAGAGGCTGCTCTGGCACTTAAGATTTTTAGTGCGGAGGGGACATATTTTCATCCTTTGGTGTAATAAAATCTTATTATAGTTACTTTTGCCTTTTGCATCACTATTTCAGAGTGCTCGCTACAGGATAAGGTGTGATGGAAAGAAAGGCCCAAATACTTCCTGCTCTAGGGAGAATTTATCAGTAGCCTATTTATATTTTGTAAATTTACATTCAAAAACAAGAACTATTGATTTGCTAAAGTTTATATTTAGGTCATTTATTTCACAATATTCTATAAATGTCCTAAGTTGGTGTAGGAGACCTGATCTAGACCTAGAAGAATAGCTGTATCATCTGCATACAGCAGGATGAGGACCAATCTAGATAAATAACCTTGTGCACCAATCATGGCTTCCTCAAGATCATTGAGAAATAGATTGAACAGAGTAGGGGCTAGGATGCAGCCCTGCCTTACCCCTATAGTGAATCTATTATATTGTGAAAATATTGTAACAAAGCATGACTCATTAGAAAAGGCAATTGTGTTTAGTAAAATTGAAACTACTATTAAAAACACATTGTAAATGGGATGACTCAATCAAGGAAGTCCTGACCTAACTCTGAAACAGTTGATAAACAGGATTCTTGTATGATAATCAGATTTCAAAGATAACTTGATAGCAAAGTAACAATCAATGATCCATTATCAAATGGATACAAAGCCCTAATCTAACAAATTTTTCGGATTACAACTCCCAACAACCCTGGAAAAACATAGGCAAGAATCTGAAACAATGGGAATCTAAAACATTAGAGAGTCCATCTTCACAATGAGAGAAAAATATGCAATTTAATATATAACATGAAAAGTAATAAGTAACTGAACATCACTACTTGAAAACAAAACACAGAAATTCAAACATAAACTAACCCAAAGAAAAGCAAGCCAATGTGGGAGTAACAAAAGGGAGTAACATGTTAAAGCAATAAAGTATAAAATGTGAAGCAGAAGATTGAATAAATATAAAGAAGGATGAGAAATTAGAGGACCAAAAAGAAGTTACTGGCATCATAAAGACAAGAACATTGTTAAAAATCTTGGTAACAAACAGAGGGAAGCAAGAATTTTAAAAATACAGAACATACAGTGCTTGATATTAATAACAATTTAGCTATAATCTATAAATCCCAAAAGTACAAAGAGGTATTTTAAATCTAATGTCTTTTTTCTGAAAGACTATCCAGATCTAGTAAATTCAGACTGGAATAGCTGACGAATATCTGTCAACCATAGCTACATATTTAATGGCACACCATTTCAAAAATCTTATATGAGGATTTTAGCTAAAGTCTGAAATTAAGATGAAAGACTACACTCTGTGTCAAGAAATATAAACTACATTGAACAAGCAAGAAATTTGAGATTATTATCCGGCTACAAAATATACAGCTCATTTTCTTCCTTAGAACATAAACGGTTTTAAAGGGGGGTGGGATTTAAATTGAGGCTTTTAGAAAATACGTTTTCAATCTTCAAACCACCAGAAGCTGACATGCACATTAAGCTACAGTTCTGAAAAAGTAATTTTTTGTCACTGAACCAAAGTCAAATGTAAATCAATATGCCAGTGGAAGACCCTTTCACCGGTAGCATTTGGTCATTTCATTACTGGCTTGTAAGAAGATTATTAAAAATGATATGTATTCTTTGTTTTTTTATATAAATTTGTAAACAAATGCTCAGTAAACCAAAATCCTCCAATTAAACTTGGAGGAGTGAACCTTCTATATGTCCCTATTGTTTTTATTTTTGAAAACTGAAGAGCCTCCCTGCATCTCTTGGTGAGCAAAGGGAGCATGTCCACTTCATTTGGGGGGCTTGCTGGCAGTCTTTATATGCAACAAAGGTCTTTTTCTTCAAAAAGGAAGTGATCAATATCAATTCCGATTTTAGAACAGGCTAAAGTTTTCCCATTAGGCTTGTGCAATTCAGCTGGAGGGCGATCCTTTTTTATTATCCGAATTTCGTTGGGTACCAGATCAGTTTTCAGGAGCCTCACAAAAATTGGTGAATGGAAAATCTGGTTTCGGGAAGATCTGGTCCATTGGCAGCAATGGGGAACTTATCAGGCTCTCCTTTCTGTTCCTGGGACCCTTTCCTTTCTTCCTTTCAAGGGAGCCTGGGTTTGAGGAATGGGGTTAAGGGAGCATGCATCGCGTGCTCCTGAAAAGAAGGGAAGCCAAGCCCGGCAGCCATGTGGGCCATTTCGAGCGAAAAAAAATGGCAGCTGAATCCTTGCTGTTATGCTCATCCAGAGAAGCTGAACAAGCCAAAGAAGCCAAAGGAAAGCGGCTATAATGGATCAGTGCACAAGTCTATTTCCCATGCAATAAAATTGACTCCACAGTCCCAGATGCTGTATCACCTTTCTTAAATAAGCTGGAAATGGCCAGTATCAGACAACTATTTGCAGGATTACATTTTGCCACCTTTGTCCTGAATTGTTCAATTAATGTATGTAAATTACTGTATATACCCATGTGTAAGTCCAAAGAAATGCCAAAAACTTGACCCTAAAGACCTTGGTCAACTTACAAACAGGTCTATAACCCACATTACCGCAGATTAGCCTCATGCAGCACATGGTCACCATAGGGCTGATCCTCATCTACATTTATCTAAGTGGTAAGTATAAATGGCACCCCATACAATAAGTTATTAACAGTAGGCCTGGAAGAAAACAATCATCTGAACTGGTACTAGATTAAGTTGGCTAATGAAGTCCAGTGAGATCTCATCAACAGAAATTGTATATATATGAATCTGAATAGTCTACATAACTTAATGGAAGTGTTACTATCTTTGTTTTTTTTATGTCACAATATTTGGAAGCAAATCAAACACTCATACAGAAAATTCCACTTATTGTTATTGCCACAAATCAGGCTAACAAGAAGCAAACAGAAACAAATAATAATAATAATAATAATAATAATAATAATAATAATAATAATAATACATAAGAGCCCCAAAATACAAAATAGACCAGTGGGAATAGTGCCACAGAAGGTAAATTGGCAGTTTTAAAAAATCAGGGAGGGGAAGAATATGTGGGTATGGAGAGAAGTAGGAATGGATTAGGGTTAGACCTTGATCAGGAATATTCCTCCTAACGTCAGGAGAAAATGCCTCTAGAACATGGCCCTATAGCCCGAAAAAACCCACAAGAACCTAGTGATTCCAGCCATGAAAGTCTTCGACAATACAGGAATATTCCTGTTAGGAGGAAGGATACACTGCAATATTTGTTACATGTATCATGTATTTCTTATTATTCTGTGTAGCTGGGGCTTAATTCATAAATTATATTTGGATTAGCATAGTGGGCTGTTGGTATCCACTGGCAATCGGTTCCAAGATACTCCGAGAATATAAAAATCTGTGAATGCTCAAATTCCAATATATACAATGATGTAGTAAAATGGTTTCCTTTGTATAAAACAGCCAAATCGAGATTTGTTGTTTGGATTTTAAAAATCTATATATTTTCAAGTCATGAATGGCTGAATCCATGGATACAGGCTTTTAAGTTTCAGTGGCTGTTAGAAATTTCTTGCTTTAATGTGCTTACTGGGCACAGAGATGCAATTTCCTGTGTTCAAAAACAATAAAGCCACCCTGATCTTTAATATTTTGCAACCTCACCACATTATCATTAATGGATTAAAGACAAAGTACATGCTTGCTTTCATTTATATTACAGAGTTTGAAAACTAACTTCACCCAATTTGCTCCCCCCCTCCCCTTGATTACAATAGGCTTCACATTGCAGTGTTCTGTGGAAAGTCAAAAATAACTAGCACATCACAATGGGAAATCACACAGTCTACATCATTATATGTGCCTAAACTACAGTTAATATCCTCTTTCAAAACTTAATATGCAGATGTTCTTAAGAACAGCTACAAAATGCATCAAGGCAGAAATATAAACTGCAGATGAAGAGATTATTTAAACATTTCCAAACAATTTGGAAAAGCTATAAAGCAGTAACGCTCTATAAAATAAAAGCTTAACTTCAATCGTCCGAGCAAACGCTAACAAGGAAAGCATTTTACCAGCATTCCACATTGCTTGAAACACAATGTCAAAAGTTTAATATTTCATCAAGATGAATTCAGAGTTCACTCTTATAAACTTTCTGAAATAATTTTTCAATCTTCTCCTGATGGAAATGCCAGCAGACCTCAAATGAAAAACAGCTTGTGGTTTTCGGCTGAAAAGGGGAATGGTTGCAGTTGCAAATTAACCTCGCCTCAAACCAGCTAAATGTGAAAGATTCACTTTTAAACCTCTTATCAAAACCAAATTATGCATGCTTCAGATTTATACCACAGGATGACACTATCATGACTCACCTCATGTTTCCCAAGGCATTGCCTGTAAATATATGCAAGAATGAAAAAGGTCAAATAATTTGAATTTTACTTCTTGAATAAATCAGTCACAAGAAATTCAGCAGTCAATCATGTATTGCACGTGAGATAGAATATGCTCTAAGACTGCCAACTTTGAATGGTTTAAAGTCAGTTGATCCATCAAATTCTTAGTTTATTAAATTGGCACGGCTGTGAGAGAACTATCGTATATAACCATATACAGGTTGACCTCAGGTGTAAGTCAAAGGCAAGTTTGGGGGGCCAAAATTATGGATTTTGATATGATCCATGGATAAGTTGAGGTCATTCTGTGGAGAGGAGAATGCACCAATGCCACTTCTGGGAGCCAGTTGCCATTTTCTCATTCAGAAGGTCATAGGCATTCAAAAGGGCCTGAAGTAGAGAGTGGAGCAATGGTTCTCAGCCTGTTGGTCCCCAGGTGTTTTGGCCTACAACTACCAGAAATCCCAACCAGTTTACCAGTTGTTAGGATTTCTGGGAGTTGAAGGCCAAATCATCTGGGGACCCACAGGTTGGAAACCACTGGAGTAGAGGGAGCCAGTATTTCTTTTAGTTTCTGCTGGGATGGACTAGGCTCTTACCTTTCATCACTCAGAGAAGGACGTGGTTCCTTTTCTAATAAGAGTTGAAGTACTGCTCCATAGATATGTCAAACCAGGATTTTTAGTTGATTTTTAATGAAAATTTCTATTAAATATTTGAGTTTATAGAGTAGGTTAAATTAGGGCACTTGTTACACTATAAAAGATACATCAGTTAAAGAAGTTCTCCTCCCAACAATACATCCTTTATTTAATGCTCTTTGAGTACTGATACAGCAACTGGCCCACCCCTTCACCATTAAGAGTTTCATAACAAGGCCTGAAAAAATAAATAGTTTCCCCATAAATTTGCTAAATCACTTCTAAGATCAAATATGACGGAATCATACCCCACTGTGCCTCCCAATTATGTCACTGGATATACAACTTTGGTGGACCATTCCTCCTTGCTCTTCTCCCAATGTATGTTGACACTGGATCAATAAGTAGGTCTTTTCAACTCCAATATATCTGAGTGAATCCTTCACTACATCTCAGCCAACAAGGAGGTGCAAGAAAAGTCCAAGATTACATACAGCTCTGTCCTCCAACATCTTGCTTTCACTTCCTAGTATGTGTATTCTGGAGTTGCCATCTCATGTAGCACAACATGGCTCATGTGCCAGTTGCGCCCACCTCTGGAGATGTAGGACAAGGTCATGCTTACACAAGCTTTAGATACCTCCAATTTATACCTCTGCTTCTGAAGTATCTAGAAACTTTAATAGATCCTGAATGCTATGGACAGCTTACTCACGAGATCCAATTACAAAAGTGTGTGACCTCTTGTCACAGAAACTCCAACATGTCATTCAAAGGATTTGGCATGATTTAGAAAATATTTTATGACTTGAAATGTGACTGTCTCAAATGACCTTCCTTGAGAGTGGATTTTTAACAATTCCTTAAGCATCACATGCATGCTTTGGGAGAGGGATAGAAGAGAGAGAGTTTTCTCAGGAGCCGCACTCAGCCCTTGGAATTCCTATCAAAGAAAGGTAGGAAGCTCCTACTGTGCTATACTCCACAGTGAGGAAAATATGTTACTCAGATTAAAAAAAAAACAAGTTGAGATGAGAACACCACCTAACTATCAATATCCCCAATGTCTGTACTAAATGTAATTTACAGGGCTTAAGATGAGTTGCCACTGAAAGGTATTAACTAGTCAAGTCCTGCTATTTCTTTTTAATAAAAGAAATAGCATTTCAATTATGTTTTTAATTTGCATTTATATTTTAATCGAATTTCAAGGGTTTCTAAATATTCAGTTCTGCCATTGACAAAAAAGATGAAATGAACTCTCTATCAGTGGGATGCATAACAAAGGAAATATGTGCCAATGCCATTACTACACATAAAATATATACATCTATAGAGAGAGAGAGAGAGGTACTAGGACTTAAATACCTGTAATTGTGTATAAGTTGAGCTCATGTGTAAGTCAAAGTCTGGTTTGGGGATCAAAATTATAGATTTTGATATGATTTTAATGTCTCAAGGAACATTCTGTTGCAAGGAAAATGCAGCCATGCTGCCTCAGGCAGCCAGCTGCCCTTATCTACTACCATTACCATTTCACCGTTTAGGCATTCAAAAAGGACAAAAGCAACACCACAGTGGAGAGACTAGAGGGTTTTTTTCCTGGGACAGACTACACTCTTGCTTTTCACTACTTTTTGATAAAACTTAAGGCATGGTACACACATTGACCTTGTGGATAAACTGGCCTGGCTTTTATGGGTTTTTATTTTGACTAAAATTTCTAGACTTATACAGTACATGGGTATATAGGATAAATCTAAGCAAGTCATACATTTCTTAAGAATGATATATCAGACACAGCAGATGTAATTTAACAAGCATGAAAAGCACCTCATTTTAAAAAACACATTCCAACAACGCAGAGCTGCTCACAAATGGAAACCATCGATCCAAACTTTGTTTTGCATCAACTTCACTGTGCTAGGAATAGGAACTATGCTGGAGTGCTAACATCATCCTATGATAGAATACCTTCCAACTGAATGTGACAACTTTCAGAAATAGCAGAATATTTCAAAGCTAAGCTGTTTGTGGATGTTTTGGGCTAAGGACCACTGACCAAGGAATGGTTAGCTATTTTGATTGATCTAAATTTCCCTTTCAAATACCTTCTTTCATTTAAACTATATCCGTTACTATAACACATGTCTCAATATTGTGGAAATATTGAAGCAAAAACACATGGAAATGTGACATTTCAAAGCATATTTTCACACTCACATTGGAACAGGAACTAGACACGGAGGACACGGTAACGCTGTCTGAATAAAGGCAGGTTCAGCTGTCTGTTCCCAGGGCCCGGCAGGCTGATGCTAGGAAAAAAAGGGTATTTTAAGAGGGAAGATGTTATACATTACCTCCTGCAATTATTGCAGATGGGAATCAAATATGCATAGAAAGTCCCCAATTACTCTATTACTTACGCCAATGGCCATTCATCCAAAAATATTCCTTTAGGACAGTGGTTCTCACCCTGTGGCTCCCCAGATGTTTTGGCCTTCAACTCCAAGAAATCCTAACAGCTGGTAAACTGTCTGGGATTTCTGGGAGTTGTAGGCCAAAACACCTGGGGACTCACAGGTGGAGAACTACTGCTTTAGGAGATTATTCATCACTTTTCAAATCAACATAAAACTCTCTAGCCGATTGAATGTATACACAATTCAAGTGTGGTTGAAAACTATTATCAAGCAGTTTGTTGACAAGCAGAAACATGCTTGTTCATTTATGAGGGAGAGGGGAGACAAAAAAGCTGGGCAATAGAACAACAGGATTTTGTATATAAATATGAAAAAGAAAATGTATTAGTCACAGTTTCTGTTTCGACTGCTAATTTTTGGCACACCAAAAGTTAATTCCTCAACTTTCAATAATTATTCACACTGGCAACATTTTTTTGATCTCTTACATTGTTATAAAAGCAGAACAGTTGGCACGATGAAAATGCAGACTAGAATTATAGATGACATCTGGGTCTAAAGCTGTCAGACACTACTAAATTATAGGGGAAAATTAAAAATTACAGACTGGTTGGGAAGAAAGAGCCCTTCTTAATGTCTCAGCTAAGAAATAACTGTAACATCTTTCTCTCAGCCTTCCCTTCAAGCTGTTCAACTGTCGATCCCCACCTACCACCATTTTTCATAATAAGCACTGCATTACTATCTTAAAATACAATTGACTCATCTCTTACCAGGCCAGTTTGCTTCACCAGTGCTTCATCATGACAAAGAGCAGGGCATAGGTGGCTACACTTTTCTAGGATTTTCTTGCAGGGTTGCCGACAAAGAGGACACGGTCCAAAGTGGCAACTGTGTTTCTCCCGGCTAGGGTGATGGCAAGTAGGTGGCTGCCTACAAAAAGAATAATCAAGACTCCCCAAAATGATTTCATAAACAGAAATAGCCACGATTGCTTAGTTTATATACTGTTTTCCTATAAGGTAGATCCTCAAGGCTGGACTTCTGCAATATGCTATACATTGGGCTACCTCTGTGCCAAGTTCAGAAATCCCAATTAGTTCAAAACGTGGCAGCCAGATTGGTTATGGGATCATCTACGAGTGAGTATATTACACCAATATTAAAGTTGCTTTACTGGTTGCCAATTAATTTCTGGGCAAAGTATGAAGTATTGGTTCAAACCTTTCAAGCTTTATATAGTTTGAATCTGACAAAAATCACCTTCTCCCATATTGCCCCCAGTGGCACAATGGATTAAACCCTTGTACTGGCAGGACTGCTGACCAACAGGTCAGTGGTTCGAATCCGGGGAGAGTGGGTTGAGCTCCCTCTGTCAGCTCTAGCTCTCTATACGGGAATATGAGAGAAGCCTCGCACAAGGATGGTAAAGCATCAAACATCCGGGCGTCCCATGGGCAACATCGATTTGTTTCTCAAGTAGCTCCTCACACACATCCTTCTCCCATATAATATGCCCCTTCAGACATAAAGTCCTCTGGGGGGGCACCTACTCCAACCACCCAGAACCCAACTGGCAACCGTCACCCAGAGGATCTTTTCATAGGCTGCCCAAAAACCTGCTGGAAGACATTTGACAGCTAAATGAGATGTTGGAATTTTAAATGCAATTGAAAACCCATCTCTTCTGACTGGCCTATCCAGTCAATTTTAAACACTGAATTTTAACTTTACATACTCGTGTCAATCTTTGTGTTGTGTGTTGTAATATATACATATTAATAGTATTATATTTTATCTGTGTGTTTTAACCATGTTGTAGCATGCCTTGAGCCGTGAGGAGAGCAAATGGAAGCAAATACAATGTATTATTATTATTAAAATTAGTCCAAACTGGTTAATAACAAAACGTAAGAAAACAAAATTTTATATCTATCAATAATAGATAGTTAATAATATAATATAATATGGAGCCCCCGGTGGCGCAGTGGGTTAAACCCCTGTGCCGGCAGGACTGAAGACCGATAGGTCGCAGGTTCAAATCCAGGGAGAGGCGGATGAGCTCCCTCTATCAGCTCCAGCTCCCCATGCGGGGACATGAGAGAAGCCTCCCAAGGATGATAAAAACATCAAATCATCCGGGTGTCCCCTGGGCAACGTCCTTGCAGATGGCCAATTCTCTCACACCAGAAGCGACTTGCAGTTTCTCCAGTCGCTCCTGACACGACACACACACACACACACACACACACATATATAATTTTTGTTTTCTTATGTTGTGCTATTAAACCAGTTTGGACTAATTTATATAACAACAACAATAGATAGTTATCCATAACCAACCAGAGAAGGTACTATTCCAAGTTATAATTTAAACTTTTAACACTCTAAAAGGGCTGCCTTTCCCCATCTTCTGGACAGGCATCTGATGTGCATTTGATGGAAGCTTGGGAGACGCCTTTTCAATGGCTACTCCAAAATTTCAACTTCATACCAAAACAGACTGTTCTAGTCAATACTGGGCCTTTTGTTCACAGGCAACAATCATTGGGTTCAAATCTGTGCTTTTAATTTAGTTACTAAAATAATACAGCCACATTTTAATAAAGTTACTTAAAGGAAGCAAATTTGTATTAAAAAGTAACCAAAACATACAACTGCTCTGGTATTATACAATAAAAATGTAGAAAGGTTTACACTTATTGTCTGAATTTTGAAATACAAGTAGTATTTGCTGTTAGGCTATCTCATTTGTTCCCAACCTGTGGTCCATGGACCACCAGTGGTCCACAAGAACTAAAATATGATCCACGTCCTCACCATTACTACACTATTGCAACAAGGGTAACTGGTCTCCAAAACCCTCTTATAGTGCCAAGGCTTATTAAATATGGTTTTCTGTGGGTGAACAGATGGTGACTACTGGAAGGCATATGTTTTGTATCAGAAACTAGAGCTGATGTGGTCTATCCAATGCAATTTTTCTGAATCAGCACCCCAAATAACCAAACCAAACCTAAAGTTGACAAAAACTGATTTGTAACCCTTTTGGTACTAATGTTGAAGAGTGGTCCCTGTTGAAGTGATCCCTGGTCAAAAAAAGGTTGAAAACTACTGGGTTAACTAGTAGCTACTAAGATACCTGCTCTGTTGCAGCCAATGAATGGAACATAGATGAAATTATGAAGCAAGTCAGGGGCCAATGTTTTTGTCTCAGAGTCCTTCTAGGCCCATATGGACTTAAAATATTACCACTGTTATTCTATTGTACAATTTGAAAAACGCAAGATAATGTTCTCTGATCCCCACAAGTGGTCAATTACTTGTTGCAATAGCTGAATAATGGGCAATTCCAGTTTTCTTACACAAAGGAATTCTCTCAATATGTTTGGGCATTCATAATATAGTTGAGACATAAAAGATCACTTATGATTGATTTATTCAAAGTGCTTATACCCTTCAGCTGAAATATCTCCTAGATTGTGCATTAGGCCAAAAAAAAAAAGGTTTCGAATCTAGGCAGGAAAAAATATCATGGATTTTCAGCTGTGCTACTGGTTCAGAGGTTGATTCAGCTCTGCAAGTATTACAGAGGTCCCCACACACTTTTTTGAGAGCTACCTGCTCAGTATGAAACTAAATATGGAGACACGAATCACCACTGGTTTTATTAGTGATCCTGGAATTTCTCAAAACACAGAAAAAGGAAGAAACAAGAAATTTTGAACCTAAATGCTGAGCTTGTGGGCTCTTCCTTTTCAAAATATTTATTTATTATTTTCTTGCCCCTTTCTTTGTACAGAATTTATATGGCCTGGATTTGACCTTGTGAGCTGTGCCTTTTTAAAAAAAATGTAATTTTAAAAGAGATAATGTCTTTATGCAAGATTATTATTTTTAATTCTAAGAGCTCACTTTTTCCTATATAAACATCTTTAAAATGTGGTGCATCTTATAATTGCAGGCGTATCTTATGCATTTTTGTTGGTGGTGGTGACGCTGAAATCAGGGTACGGCTTACAATCGATGCTGTCTAACAATTGAAGAAATACGGTGTATTGTCTAATTGCCACATTATATGCCACTCTTAGTTGCTTCCATTTCCAAGATTCTGAAGGAAATCTGTTCCAATTTTTCAGAAGACTACATTTCTAATTAACAACTGCTTGGCAGAAAGCCCCAATAAACTCAGCAGACATCTATAGAATAACATTGATATTGCCCTCTTCATATCATTCAGGTAGTAATTAAATACAGAGCAGGCCCTCCACCTTCATGGGGGGGGGAGGGGTTAGGGACACAGGACCCCCCCCCTTCGTAAAAGTGGGGGAAATCACATTTTTAAAAAACATACTTTTTTAACCTAAAAGAATATTTCTTTAAGAAACTCTCAAGTAGACCATTGGTTTGGCCTATAACTCCCAGAAATCCCAGCCAGCTGTTAGGATTTCTGTTAGGATTTCTGGGAGTTGAAGGCCAAAACAACTGAGGACCCACAGGATGAGAACCATTGATATGCAGGATCTAGAGCAGTGGTTCTCAACCTGTGGGTCCTTGGCGTTTTGGCCTACAACTCCCAGAAATCCCAGCCAGTTTAATGGCTGTTAGGATTTATGGGAGTTGAAGACCAAAACATCTGGGGACCCACAGGTTGAGAACCACTGAACTGGAGGTTCCTAGAGGGAAAATATCAATTAAATCCATTAATAATCAAATCTGCAAGAACTAAGCCGCAAAGTGGAGGACTGACTGTATTTTTATCTTGGTCATGTTCAGATGTTGTGGCTTATGTTTTAATGTTTGTTATGACACGTTGTTACAATATTAGTTCATTTTCATTTATTGTGACCATTTAGAGTAATAGTTATTTACATATACAATTATCAAATGACTGATTTACACCTGATCATAAAAATATTTAAATTACTTGTAACAGATCTCCAGGTTAGGAACGGTTTTTTAGTCAGGGAACCCTAGGATTTCATGACACGTCACCTGGGGTTGTGAAAGAGATTATAATTAAGAGAAAAGAAATGTAGAGGTTCTCTGAAACTTGAAAACTACTTTAGAATTCCTCCAGTGTAAAAAGGTGCATTTGAGTTGGCACCTTCCATAGTTTGATGGCAGACTAATTAAACGTACTTTCACTGCATCATTATAAGCTGCTAGAATATATTGTGTTACTATGGCTCCATCTACTGGGAGGAAAAAAAATCAGAAGGCAAGAGATCGTAATAGAAATGGATAGCTTCCAACACCATATTCCAGATTTTGTTTTTATACTGTAATTCTGACTTGACAGCTTTCATGAAGTATACACTATTTTAAAATAAATCCACACATACTTTTTCTATTCCTTTTCTTTTTCCCAAATTGCTTTTTTAAAATAATTCTGTAGTTGTAAATTAATTAGATCAATCTCATTTGCTGTCCATTTTCTAAATTCTAGTCAAAAGATGAAGAAGAATAAAACCAAACACACTTTAGTTGCTGGGGACACCTAAGCTGTATCCCAAAATTTTCACTGCATAAATGTACAAGTTAAACACTATAATTTATACCAACCTGCATAGTTCTTTGCACCTGGGGGGTTTAGTGGTACGTTCTCTCCCACAAGGTACTTTGATAACAGTTTTGCCACAATTGCACTTCACATCTACAGTTTCAGGACATGGATAGCAGCTACCTAAAATTTTAAAAAAAAATCCAAAAACAGTTAATTTTTTTAAATGTTAACATCATTTACTATAAAATCCATTTAAATCAACAGAATTACTCTGCAATCACAAGAATATCTTATCCAGCAACTATCTCTGACAAAATTCAATTAATGTGTACTGATCAACATGAAATACAATGTGGATTTTCATTGCTTTTTGCTCATACATTGCTATTACACATCCATTGTATTTATTCCTTTACCACACAAGGCTATGCTTTAAAAATTGTAAACAATGTCCCAATTGAGCAAACTTAAAGTGCTATTTAGACTGAACGGTATAACAAACCTTCTTACCTCTGTGGCAGACTGAAGGACACTTGTGATTTCGACACCCCAGAGTTCTTCCACAAACCTGATCACATGCTGGGCAGTTTCCAGGGCAGCACTATAAGAAACACAATGTTTTAAAATGTAGCACAGAAAGCTGGACATGCTTACTTGTGGGTCAGTCATGCTGAACCCAGTGGAACTTACCTATGAGTAAGCATAAACTGGTTGATGCAAAAAGAAACAGCCAGCATTTCACAAAATGTTATCATTTAAGTGCCATGTTAAACAGTGGTATGACAAGGGGAGTGTGTGTATGTGTGTGAACTGCATTGGGTGACACCAAGGCTTGAAATACCACTGCTGCAATTGACAGGTAAAAGTTTCAACGTTGAGGCTAACCTGGAGGCATTTAATTCCTGTGGAAGGTTTCAGTGGGCAAAGGTGGAGATGACATTAGCCAAGTTGCTGGGGTGGATGGTGACATATATAGTAATAAGGGATTTACTTCCATTTTCCTTTTCAGGACAATGTCACCGTAAGGCAACTGACGAGAAATCAACTCTCCCCAGCTCTAAGATTTTCCTGGCATTGATGGCTTTCTGAGGTTCTCATGGTAGGGATGCCCATCCAGAAGCCAAGGACTGTAGTGATCTCCAATGCTAGTTTGAGAGGAATACACAGTATGAACTATAGACGGTACACCTAGCACACCTCAATCTGCAGTTCAATATTCAGGGCAATTGTGTGTTGATTCAGATGGAGATGATCCCCTTGGATCATCAAGACCCACATAAACAGGCAAAAAAGGAATTCAATATAAGTCCCTGATGCAGGACATGATGCCTCTGGCAAGTTTGGGAAAGGGGGGGGGGGGTTCACCTTCCATCATTGAGAAGCAAACACTTCAAAGTTCAAATGAATTTTTAGACCAATTGCTTGAGCAGGGAGTCAACAACAACAATTCTTTATTGATTAGTCAATTTTGACCATATCAAAACATGCAAAACATACACACTTGGCCATACATACAATAAAACCACATATGAATACAAGACATCATGGCCTACTGGCCTGTCGACCCACTCCTAAATAATTGAGCAGGGAGTCTGAAATCAGAAGAGTGGGCTAGACGCAGCATCACCTTCTTATCCACAGATTTAGTACCTAAAGTTTCACCTGCTCCAAAGAATACCCTTCCCTCAAAATGTTTGTGGATCTCTCCAGGTCCTCTCTAACGCAATTTTATGGTATGCTTCCAGCTCAAGTAAAAAAAAAATAGGATTCATGTTTTCATGTATTTACAAAAGGTCTTGGAATATATCTCCAGCAGATGTGGGGATCATACTGTGGTCCACACTGTCGTAACTCGTTCATACTTTCTCACTGAGGTTACTCTACTAAAATAAAGGACAGATTTATCTTTTAACACTTGCCTTCCTCTTGCACTGGTGTTTTTGACAGTCACGAATTTTTGCACATTTTGTTTCACAAAGGTATGGCTTATGGCAGGGCATCTGCCTTGTATGCTTTCCACAGCGGCACTGCTTCTCAACTTCCTTTCAAGAGACAGAGGGGAAAAAAACAAAAGGGATGAGATATAAATTAACCGCACCAATACTGAGGTTTATCAATAACAAAGTTCATGTTGTTCAATTCTGTGTTAATCACTACCTAAGGAAGAGGAAAAAGATATCATAAAAAAGATTTCATGTGATGTTGAAGGCTTTCAAGGCCAGTGTCACAGGCTTTGAAGCTGCAAAGGTGGCTAATATTTTATTTTATTTATTTATTTTTATTTTACGGCATTTATATGCCGCCCTTCTCACCCCGAAGGGTTCTCAGAGCAACATTTACACCTATCTCTAACAGACAAGAGTTCTTTCTCCCACCCTGGACATTCCACAGATATATAAACCTCACTTGCCTAGCTTCCAACAGACCTCACGACCTCTTAGGATGCCTGCCATAGATGTGGGCAAATCATAAGAGAATGCTTCTGGAACATGGCCGTACAGCCTGGAAAACTCACAACAACCTAGATTTCATGTGAATCTACTATGACAATTAAGCTGTGTAAAAAAAAACTGAAATAAATAGTTTCATTAACTACTGTATACAGTAGTTTGTGTACAGAAACAGGTCATCTCATAGACCAGTGCAATAAGGATAAGAAAAATGGGATAGATTTCCACAGAAATCAACAACTCAATTCAGTCCAGTTCCAAAAATTGTTAAATGTTGCACAATGCCATTATAGAATATATTACTTATGACTTTACTTAATGTAGAAGTCACGTAAATCAGTTTTTTCCAGTAGTCTCCAAGATGGTAAACATTTTATTAAGTATTTAAGTGCACATGAAAAATGTCAAAGTAAAAAATTCTCAATTTGCAAGGTGCATAAAACAGGACAATTTGGGATTTGTATGTCAAAACTGTCATTTAGAAATGTGCCTGACATTTTCATATAAACTAAAAAGAAAATTCAGTATCTTTGATAGTGATGTACTTGTATTAGGACTCACTGTGAGTTTGCAATCCCCGATTATCAATTTATATTTCTATATATTAATTGTAGGGTGAATACACACACATACACACGTGTAGAATGTGGCTTTCAATTTCTTACAGCAGGCTGGAATGTGAAATACATGAGTATATGTAACTATGGGCACAAAGAAATCTATTTTATCTCTTTTGTCTCTCATCACTCTCAAGCATGGATCATTACAATTCAAAGTCAAGACCAAAAATGCCACTCTGTGTATACAGAATAGATATCAGGACACTGGTGGGAGTTGGGGGTGCTTTAATTGCTGCCACTTTTGAAATGGCAACTTGCCACTCACGATGCTATGGACTCATTGGAGTTACAGCTTTACAAGGTCTTTAGCCTTCTCTTCTAAATAGTGCTGTTTCCTCATCATACAAACCCCAGGATTCCATAGCATTTGACATGGCAGTGGTGTCAAACTGCCTTAATTCTACAGTGCAGCTGCACCTAAAATCTGAAGTAGCATCATTTTATCAATCTAAGATACTCCCTGACCAAACTTTGCATAAAATGACCTCAGAAGCACTTTATTTTATGGTTCATGCAATTAAATCCTTCCTCATCCCCGGATCCCCCTCCCCGACAATTTACATTGCCCTATCTCCCAGTGTTTTTAAAAAATTATCTTTGAATTTGGGCCTGCCCAGTGTAATTCCTTTGTATTTTAATGTTTGATTTTATATTGCTGTGTTGTCTATTATATTGGTTTTGCATTTTATGTATTTTATTTTCTGGTTTTGTTATGCTTTTGTGTAATATTGTGTTTATTGTACTGATGGGTATGGCCTAATGTAAGGTGCCCCAAGTCCCCCTGAGAGAGATGGAGCAGGGTATAAATAAAATATTATTATTATTTTAGAAACTGCCTAAATCCTCCTCTCATGCCTCTCCTCCCCTCTGACCCAATGTGAAAGTAGCTATGCTTGTCTGAAATACAGCTGTCAATGAAATTGTTTGAGAAAAGGAAGTTTCGAACCTATACCAGACAGAGGAAATATTCCAAAAAGGCCTGATACAGTTTTAAATATGCTCCTACACACTGATCGAAAGTGCTTTGTGAATATAGCACAAACTGTGATATATGCTGGGTTTTTTTGTTGTTGTTGTTGTTTTGGCTTACTTGAGAAACAATAAGAAGCAGTGCAGATGGTGTTTTTGTAGGTCCAGAGAATCAAACAATTGAAGACTTCCTTTACGGAAGTCTTAATTTCAGGGACATTTACTGAAATAAACTCCTCCAGAAGCATTGGAATGAACTTGATTGAAAACCACATGATTAAATTGTTAGAGCATTGCTCACCTGCCTACAGATTTCACAGGGGCCTCGGTGGCAGCGCTGTGAACATCTATGAATGCCACATTCAAGAACTTTGTCACAACTGTCTCCACAAGTAGGCACATCCTCCGTACACGGCAAAGAAAATTCTAAGAAAAAAAAACATTAAAAAACCAAAGACTATCAAATTTGTGGCATATGATAGATAACTGAAAAGAGTAATCTACATTCTCATATGTTTTTAAAAAAAAGAAAGATAAATGTAATGCACCAAGACATAGATATTTACACTTGTGATTTGATTTAACATTAAGCAATGCATGTATAGTAAAGTGATAGTAAATGTTACCCATAGAGGGAAGCTACCCACAAGAAGACCTCATGACAGAATCAATTTGGGGTAGCCATACATTGAAAACTATGTGAAGGCACACAACAACAAAAACATAACCATTATTGTATGATTCTATGATTACCTATTATGGCTTTTCCTCAAAATCAACTTGTTTCTGAATGCTATTTGGATCATTTAAGTTTAAAGACGCATTATATTGTTCAATTGGATGCATGTTTGATTAAAATTGGCAACAAAGGCAAAGAAGACTTACTGGATTTTCCACACGGACAAGACCTTTTGCCGGAGCGAGGACATTCTCCACAAGGGCCACCATGACAAACCTCTTCACAGACATGATAGCCGCAAGGCAATGTTTTGCCACAAACCTGGTGGGAAGCATAAAAGATAGTTGCAAGTGAAGTAATTAGCACTAAGGGCTGAAATTAACAGAATGCAGGAAAGAAAAAAGGTGACCTCCCCCTGAATGTAGTTTCTGGTTGCTTGAGAACTACCATTAAAAGGTAGGCCTAATTAATACTATACCCCATACTATATCATACCATATTGACTGATGTTAATATTGAAATAAAGTAATTAGAAGTAAATTAAGACAAATATATTTCTTTATGTATTTATTTAGTATATTTATATACCGCCTTTCTCACCCCTGGGGGAACTCAAGGCAGTTTACAACATATTAATGGCAAGAATTCAATGCCAACATACATATAATAAAATAAAATCACAATAAGTAAACACTGACATGATCAAAACTTAATTTTATGTAACACAGTTTTGTGAATGTTGTATGTCAGTTGCTCGAGTTCAACTCAACTGAGAGTCGAATGTACCATGTGGTATTTTTTAGTCCACAATGCATCCCATAACATAAATGAGAAGGACTAAAATATCCCATCTTCCAGTTTTGGGGTTAAACAAAAGTCAATTAAAATGGACTCTTCCATAAAAAACAGAAATAATTGCTTTTATGGTATTGCTAGCAATTTTTGACATTATAAAAGCTAAAAATGAAGACAAAAAACATTGTCTTCTTTCTCTTGGAGGCCTAATTGACAGCAATATTTTGGCAATAAGCAAAAACAGAGCTTTTCAATTAAACCTTTTGGGCTTTAACTAGTTTTATATAAACTCTCGGATGCACATAATTTAAAATAAACTATTTTAACTTGTTCTAATCTGTCTTTTTATTAAACTTTTTTGTTTTTAAGATAAAAAACATATTACTTGCATGCTATTTTATAAAATATAATAAATAGAGCCAATATAATGATAGCAACAGGACAGTAAAGAAGGCTTGTAGAAAGTCAGTAAACATCAGGTGTTCACATAGGGTATGGACAAAAAATGACTCCCTCCTCCAAGTTACATTTAAAACCATTGTTCTGCTTGTTAGCCTACAAAGCAAAGCCCAAACTATCTGATTACGTATTAGAATGGTAACTTACCTGATCACACTGCCATAAAGGGCTTGCACAAAGTCTTTCTGCTACCTGTTTACCACAGACACACCTTTGCTTGCTGATTCTTGGGCAGGGTTGACAGTTTCCTAAAAGTAAAGCACAGTCAATGATTAGAAACTATTCATATCCTGCCCTTCTCTCATCAGCGGTACCAAAGGGGCTCACTTCAAAGTTATAACAAGATCTAACTAAAAAACAGATGATATAAACATTAAATATGAAAAACATGTTACTATCAAAACACTTAAATCTAAAAAAACCATCTCACTTTCTCTCCCACACACACACCTACCTGGATGACAAGGTTTTTCACAGTTGTGTTGTCCACATGGCAACCTTCGTCCACAAGGCAGCTGACACGACCATTCCTTTGTGCTGCATCTCCGTGGCACAGGTTTGGCTTTCTTGCAGTAACAGGTTACTGTGACCATCTTTGGACAAGGTGGACAAGGACCTAAGGAGATCCAAAAGTAACTTGGCATAAACACATCTATTTATTTATTTATTTATTTGCCGGATTTATATACCGCCTTTCTCAGCCCGAAGGCGACTCAAGGCGGTTTACATTTGACACAATTCAATGCCCCCCAACAGACAAAATACAATTCAAAACATTAGCATATAAAATATAAATCCATAAAAAGTCAATAAAACCATCAAGCCTTAGTATTTCCTTACTGAAATCACCTACTACTCTTTTTTGTGCTAGTTACTGTTTTTGGATCCCAAAAACTCGATTTTTTTTCCACATCGATATCTTTAAAAATGTGCAGGACTGGAGGTTTCAAAGTCTGGAAGAGTTACACAAGTGTTCCATAAGCACATCTTCCCCACCGGAGCAATATGTTACAATTAACAGAACAGATAAAAAAAGACTTATGTGCAAGTTAAACAAAACTAAATTACCTAAGTCAGTCACTTCCTCTCAATCTAAATGATTTTTTGTGTGTCAGGAGTGACTAGAGAAACTACAAGTCACTTCTGGTGTGAAAGAATTGGCCGTCTGAAAAGATGTTTCCCAGGGGATGCCCAAATGTTTTACCATCCTGTGGGAGGCTTCTCTTATGTCCCCACATGGGAAGCTGGAGCTGACAGATGGGAGCTCACCTCGTTCCCCGAATTCAAACCACCAACCTTTTGGTCAGCAGTCATGCCGGGACAAGAGTTAACTGAGGGGTCCCCAAACTATGGCTGAGGGACCAGATACAGCCCTCCAAGGTCATTTACCTAGCCCTCACTCAGGGTCAATCTAAGTCTGAAACGACTTGAAAGCACATAACAACGACAGCAATCCTATCTCATCAGCTAACAGCAGGTCCACACTTCCCACTGAAATACTAATAAATTTATATTTGTTAAAATTGTTCTTCATTTTAATTATTGTAAGGTAAAAGGTAAAGGTCCCTGACATTAAGTCCAGTCGTAACCGACTCTGGGGTGTGGTGCTCATCTCCATTTCTAAGCTGAAGAGCCAACGTTGTCCGTAGACACCTCCAAGGTCATGTGGCCAGCATGACTGCATGGAACGCCATTACCTTCCCGCCAGAGTTGTACCTATTGATCTACTCACATTTGCATGTTTTCGAACTGCTAGGTTGGCAGAATTTAATTATTATTAATTATTAATTATTTAATTATTGTGTTGTTTTTAATTATTAATTATTTAATTACTGTATTTCTAAAGTGTTTTTTGCACTACAAATAAAATATGTGCAGTCTGCATAGGAATTTGTTCATGTTTTTTAAATTATAATCCGGAAACTATTAAATTATAATAGTTTCCCAACATCCAGCAAAATTTAAATCTGCACCATCCCATATTTTCAGGATAGCTTGACTAACTATCGATAATATCAACATTATATACCTGGGTGACAAAGTAACAGGCACTTGTGTCCACAGGAAGGCTTGAAATCTCTCTCACATACTTGGCCACAAGAATGTGGAACCAGCCAGGGATCTAATGGTGGATCTTCCACCTTTCCACAGTAGCAGTAGTATCGAGAGGGAGTCTCAGAACGCTTGTACTCAAACCTGCATTTTGGACTAGAAAAAGGGAAATTAATGGAGACTTCAGTAGATTTGGCTTGAGGATATGATGTCATAACAAGTGTAAAGTTAGTCAATAGCAACAGTTAAATTATATCAACATAGATGCTAAATGCGCGTTATAAATGAAAAGATGTAAATGATAAATCATTGATCGAGCAAGACAAAAACCCAAATATGAAAAGCTAGGACTCATAATAGGAGTGTAAAGGGAAAGGTTGGGCAACTCTACCAATCACAGGTCAGGGAATGCTGTGAAGGAGAACCTATGAGGGGAAATGGGTACAACTGAGAAGCTTAGGTAGCTAGAGAAAACAATGAGTAGTGTTCAGCAGTCAGAAAAGACCAGAATAGGATTGTGGGAGTTGTGAATGGGGAAAGAGGTCAGGGATTTCTTGTTTAATTCTTTTTGTTATAGTGCAAATTTATTTATTTATTTTCTACAATTGTGTCTGACTATTCCATTGAAGAACGGATAAGGAGACTGGTCATGTTTAACACTGCAGATTCACTGATCAACTCAACCATGTGTCCATAATAAGAATTACCTTAAGGTCGAAGTACCAGATAAAGAGAGGGATCTTGATAGGGAAAGGGGCAATATGAGTGACAGAAGCCCAAGGATTGGAACTGTAGGGCCAGCCTAGAAAGGGATTCCATTATGATGAGCAACTGGAAACAGTTTTATTTATTTGTTTTATATAAAATGTTTCCAGCAAACTTTAAAATAACATGCATACAATTAATTAAAGATAACATAAAAATTGAATCAATGAAAAAAAATAAAATGAGAGGTGGTAAAATGAAAAATTATTTATTATTATTATTATTATTATTATTATTATTATTATTATTAAGATGGATTAAAAACAGAACTATTTAAATGGCTGAAAATATTAAATTTTGCCTGGTAACAAAAAAATGGCAATGTACCAAGGGAACCACTCTAGGGAGAGAATTCTAGAGCAGCCTCGCAAAGCCTGTGGCCCTTCAGGTGTTTTCAACTTCAGTTCTCAGAATACCTGACCATTGGACAAGCAGGCTAAGAGTTCTGGGAGTTGGAATCCCAAACACTGGAAGGGTCACATGTTTTACAGGCCTGTAGTAGTAGTAGTAGTAGTAGTAGTAGTAGTAGTAGTAATAATAATAATAATAATAATAATAATAATAATACTTTAGTTGTATTCCACCCCATCTCCCCGAGGGGACTTGGAGCAGTTTGCAACACAGTAACAGTGCAAACCATAAACAATAATTATTAAGTTAAATAACAAAATTAATGTAAATCAACAAAAAAGACACAAAATAATACAAAAATAAAACAACATATTAAATTGACACCACAACCATCATTCACAAGTAAAAATAAACAGTGGTGATGTTATATAAACCAATTAAAGCATCCCAGCCACTGGTTTGGTTAAAAAGCGAAAATCCAATTAAAACTTAGTCCCATTTCAGTCCTCTAGCCATTAGATATTGCATTAACCATTGCCAAAAGCCTGTTAAAAAGCCAGGTTTTTAATCCCTTATGAAAAGTTGAAAGCGTGGAAGCTTGCCTAACCTCCCTGGGGAGGACGTTCCAGAGCCGGGGGGCCACAACCAAGAAGGCCCTCTTCCTCATTCTTACCAACTGTGATTGTGATGAAGGTGGGACCCTGCAGATCTTAATCCTCAAACAGGTTCATAAGGAGAGATGTGGTCATGTAAATAAGCTGGACCCAAACTGTTTAGGGCTAGAGGCACCATTATCTTCCCACAGAAGCGGTACCTATTGATCTACTAACATTTGCATGTTTTTGAACTGTTAGGTTGGTAGAAGCTGGGGCTAACAGTGGGAGCTTACCCCACTCCCCGGATTTGAACCACTGACCTTTAGATCAGCAAGTTCAGCAACTTAGCAGTTTAACTCACTGCTTCAAGGGGGCGCATCTATGACTGCTGTCCTCAATGATCTCCACAAAGAAAGACAAAGGATGGTCAGGGAAGTCATGCACTTGAATCTGTATTTAATAGATGATTTAATGAATCACTGTGTTCTGTTTCCAATGTTCTTAAATATGTAGTAAATTATTTTAAGTGGAATAAAATGAGGCATCTGGTTTTGAACTATAGTGGGAGTTTTCTAGATATTATCTGATAAAGTGAAAAAAAATGTGCAAACCCGATTCTGATGTGGTTTATGTTTACTAGAGGCAGACATTATAGACTGGATTAATTAGGGAAGCTTCAACATGAAACCAATTTTGCAAAAGCAACATCAGAGAACTCATTTTGCAGCTTTAGAACTACGGCCACTCTTCTTTTTAAAGCCATTACTTAATTTTTCCACTACAAAAAACAGCTTTCAAACAAAACACCAAAAAGCATACCATGGCCATGGATAATCCTTTTTTCCAAAATCATCATCTGTCAAAGGAGAGGATATTAAGAAAAGACTATCCTTTGCCCACTTCTGAATGCAAGGCATGTGAAATATGCAGAAACATCCATAGCAACTCCAGACCTAAAAGGCACAGATAGATCAGAAGTCCTGACTCATTAATTTCTTCACTGGACATATGAAAATTATTATACATACATACATATTTTGGTAAAGAGTTACTAGGTCAGTGCACAATAAATACAGGTGAGGCAGCATAACTTCCTTTTTTAAAATGCGCGCCATTCAGTCGGTTGAAGACGTAGCGGAGAGCTAGTGGTCTTGTTTGAGAGGCGGGAGTATGAAGTATTGTCCTGACGCAGTTCAGTCGCCATCATGCGTTGGAACAGTGAGGAGCGTGCTTTTGCCTTTGAGGCCTACTTTTCGAGCGGATTTGGAGTGGCCGGCCCACTCTCCAGATTTGGCCCCTTGTTTTTTTTCTATGGTTTTTTTGAAATCCCGTGTTTATGTGAACTGTCCAAGGACCCTACAAGATTGGAAGACCAACATCCAGGAAGAAATTGCCAACATAACACCTGCTATGCTGGCAAGAGTCATGACAAACGCCAGAAATAGGTTTACTCGGTCTATGGAGAATGGGGGATGTCACTTACCTAATTTGATCTTCAAAACTACGTAAAACAAAACTTTAGGTAAGCACCTATATTATAAAAATAAAAAATAAAATTTCTGATTCATACAATGGGTTTTATTAAGTTTTGAAAAAAGGAAGTTATGCTGCCTCACCCTGTACAACTATAAAAGCAAATTAATAATAAACCATTATAAACATATCACAATAAAAATAATTGTAACCTGTAAAGCATTCTCCCACATCATGCTGCATGCACTTTGTACTTTATGTCTATAAACTCAGTCATCTCTTAACCTTTATCTTCCATGATTTGTCCCATAGCAGCCTCCAGGAATGAGCAATTTACTTAATCCAGAGCTTCTTAAACTGTGGATCCCAACCGCAAATTCGGTGCCCTTACTTAACTCAATGTTGGGGTCACAAAAAAATTGGCAATAGTAAAAGATTTCTAAATGCCACATAAACATAAATCTGTTAGCAACGACACCGTATTTACAGTGACCTCTGCAAAAATACTGCAGCTGTAGTCCATAAAAAGGGGAAATCAGTCTGTTTAGCAAATCTTGCAAATGCTGATTTGTTATCAGTGAATGTTTGTTTTTATACCTATTTTATATATCTGAGGTCATATAAAAGTTTCTCGGGTGAAAAAAGGGTTGTGAGTGAAAAAAGTTGAAGAAACCCTGACTTAATCCACACATAAAACTGTCTTAATTTAAAAAAAGAGCTGCAAAGAGAGGGTCTTGTATGCCTCCGTCAGGAAGTGTATTCATAGGGATGACACAGCCAAAATCTTATCACAGATTCTACTTGATAGCAAAAAATAAACGTACTGGAATTTTTAATAAAAAGAGTGGTAAGACTACAAGAAAAGAAAGCAGCTCATCTCCCATCTCTCTTTCAAAGAAGAGACTGATTTTGTCCTGATAAGGCCTGCCTCCAATTGAGGGGAAGATCAGGGTGATGCCTCAGCAAATGCTGCAGTGGCAACATAACATAAATGGCAACTTTGTCATTACAGGTTGTCAATTAAACAGTAACAGCAGCTCTTACCGTAAAACAAATCTGAAATACAGACAGTCCCCAAGTTACAAACATCTGACTTACATACAACTCATAGTTAAGAACAGAGGTGATACAACAGGAAGTTTTTGGGTTTTTTTGTCATGTCAGGAGCATCCTGTTGTGAGAGAATTGGCCGTCTGCAAGGACGTTGCCCAGGGGACGCCCGAATGATTTTGATGTTTTATCATCCTTGTGGGAGGCTTCTCTCATGTCCCCGCATGAGGAGCTGGAGCTGATAGAGGGAGCTCATCCGCCTCTCCCCGGATTCGAACCTGTGACCTGTCGGTCTTCAGTCCTGCTGGCACAGGGCTTTAACCCACTGCGCCACCGGGGGCTCCACAACAACAACAACAGGGAGTGAGAGAAATCTACTCCTAGGGAAGAAAATTCACTCCTGGAAGAGGGTTTTTTTTTCATGTCAGGAGCAACTTGAGAAACTGCAAGTCGCTTCTATGTGAGAGAATTGGCCATCTGCAAGGTTGTTGCCCAGGTGACGCCCAATTTTTTTTTATGTTTTACCATCCTTGTGGGAGGCTTCTCTCATGTCCCCGCATGGGGAGCTGGAGCTGACAGAGGGAGATCATCTGTGCTCTCCCTGTTGATCTTCAGTTCTCCCGGCACAAGGGTTCAACCCATTGCGCCACCAGGGGCTCCAGCCCTGGAAGAATTATTATTATTGGGAAAAGGTGTCTCCGCTGAAGCTCTATTACCAATCCTTGTTACCACAACAAGTCAATTTTTTCAAAATCCAATGATCACAGGGACAGAAAGTGAAGTGAGATCTTCTGAACAGAGGCACAAACAACAAACACCACAGGGGTATTAACCCTTCCCTATGCTATCCAAAGCTTGCTTACTTTTGTGTGTGTGTGTCTGGAGTTACATTTTTTTAAAAGTACCTGTTTCTGCTTACATACAAATTCAACTTCAGAACAATCCTACATAATAGATGCAAGCAAAACGTCAGGAGAGAATGCCTCTAGAACATGGCCATATAGCCCGAAAAAACCTACAATCCAGTGATTCCGGCCATGAAAGCCTTTGACAATACATAATTTATATGTTTGTAACTTGGGGACTGCCTGTATAGTATAAGATTTCCCAAGCAAATGTTACAGGATGCAAAAGCCAGAAGTCAGGCCAGAGTCCAATAATTCTTACAATAGCATCACCCACTAGTTGACCGAACTGTCCACTCCCAGAAAAAAAGATGAATGCATTGAATCTGTATCACCGCATTTGTGTCATGTTATTCAATGAGATTCCAAATACTAAGTTACACCTGACATTTGTATTTAGAGATTGAGAAAACTCCAACAAAATAGTAAATAGGCAAATAATGCTATGACAATACTCATAAGGCACAATACATACAGCTTGGTTTCTCTTAATTGAAGCAATACAAATCAAGCATGTCATCGCCCCAGACTGGAAAGCATCATTCATGTACTGTCTTGTGCGCTCCAATTCGCTTGCATCTCCACCTTTGAACACAAGAAAATACATTTATTTCACAATACCAGTTAAGGATGCATTATCCTAACTATTGCCTATGGATCAGTATCAAAGCATCGGGACTGTGGCACAGCTGGCTGAATGTAAGCTGTATTAAGATCACTTCTGACCAAAAGGTCATGAGTTCGAAGCCAGCCCAGGTTGGAGTGAGCTTCCGACCAATTGTTTAGCTTGTTGTCGACCTCTGCAACCCGAAAGACAGTTGCATCTGTCAAGTAGGAAAATTAGGTACCACCTATGTGTGGGGAGGCTAATTTAACTAATTTATGAGGCTATAAAAAAAGACTCCAGCAAAGCATGCGGGGAATGCGGAAATACTTCATCAGTGTCGCAGATGGACGATGAAAGCGACAGCTCCCCTGGCCAGAAAAAGTTAAATAGCCTCTGACTGTCTATATCTGTTGTGTGTCTTTGGCATTGAATGTTTGCCATATATGTGTACATTGTAATCCGCCCTGAGTCCCCTGTGGGGTGAGAAGGGCAGAATATAAATACTGTAAATAAATAAATAAATAAATAAATAAAAGAACAATCTAATGAAGCATTTCTTTCCAGACAAAGATGTTACAGAATTTATGTATGAATCAAAGCCGTGCCTATCTCATTTCTTGCTTATAGTGGCTCTTCAAATAATGTATACCCTACAAATGGTGCCAAGTTATAATTAGTGTCCCTATGAATAGAATCACCTTCTCTTATTTTCTGACTCTGAAGGGACTGCATAGCGCCTTCACTGCAGTTCTGGAATCTGCCTCAGCCAGAGGACAAGAATTCACCTTTTGATTCATGACAGAGAACACTGTGTACATTACAGCACAGAAAAGGACACTGCCATGGCAAGATGGAAACTTGCTGCAGATTGACCATTTAATCAGTACATAATGCAGCTTTTGCCCTGTCTTCCTTAGCATGGAGCAGCATAAAGATGCAAACACAGATTCATATTGTCAGTGCTCCCTCCCTTTTTAGTGATATACTAAAGCTTTTAAGTATATTTATATGCAAATATGCTTGCATTGTTTTTACATTCTACTGACTATAATGCTCCTAGGGTAAAACTATTAATGCAAGTATTTGGACATACAAAAGGCCAAACCAACAGGCACATTTAATGACCATTATATTCAGAGACCAATTCTAAACACTTGGAATAGATATTTTAAAAAAAGAATTTTACAAAGACACATGAGGCATACTACAAAAGGAAGAACATCCTTCAAGGGAAATGGTTAATCTATAGGGAGCTGATCCAGACCGACTTAGAAAACCCAAAAATGAAACCTCTAGAAGAATTTAACCAAATGGGCCTTAAATGCAATTGGCTTCTATATAGACAGCTGCATGAGAAATTTAAAGAACTTAGAATCCTAGGCTTCCAGACTGCAAAAACATGGTTTGCTGTGGTGATGTCCCAGAAACCAAAAGGCCTTATATCACATAAATACAAAAATCTACTGACTTGGCACACAGAAGAGTAAGTATTAAAAGACTCTGTGGTTTGGTGGGATCATAACATAGGCCAAGAGATAAAAATGGCCAATGGGAAAAGACACAGAAGAATGAAATACACAGTATGTCAAAACCTAAAAGAAAATGTTTACAAAATGCGCTTGCGACGGTATCTCCCTCCAGAGAGACTAGCCAAGATGTATAATTGCACCAACAAATGTTGGAAATGTGGGAAAGAAAAAGGTACATTTTACCGTTTACATGGTGGACTCGCAACAAAGTAAACAACTACTGGAAACAGATTCATATATATCTCGAAAAGATGGCACAGATTTCAAAATGACACCACAAATGTAATTTTTGAACATGCCTGATGAAGAACTAGAAAGGAAATTCAGGAAAAAACGTGAGAGAGGCAACTTGAATAGTATATGCCAGATATTGGAAAACCTCAGAGATATCTCACTTGGAAGAATGTAAAAATACATTACAGATTTGCTGATAATGGATAAAATAACTGTACTATTAAGAGGAGAACTATTAGAGAACTTTGTTACTGAATGGCAACCAATGATTCAATATTTCAATGTAAAATCACAACTAAAAATGTATACAGAGGATCCTATAAGACTGTAGACATGGGGGAAGTGGACATTAAGTTAGAGTCTATGATACCTTTATATGTACTATTTAAATAGAAGACTGTGAGCCCTTTATAGAAAATGTATTATCTGAGAAATGATTATGGAATCCTAATAGCTAGAAAGTATTGCATTGTACATAACAAACACAAATGTATGTCTATTTGAATAAATAAATCTAAAAAACCTATTAATGCAAGGAATCTCTTACTGCACTACTTGGAAATCATTTGAATAATCAATTGTCTTGTTGTGCATACTGAAATCTGAAAAGGGGGAAAGGCTTTACCGGTTTGAACAGTGTAAGTTGTAAATGTTTTTTCCAATATTCTTCCATGTTTTCCTTCAATCTCTTCTTCGTCATCTTCAGAGGAGGAACTAAACTGCTCTTCCACAAGCTTTTTAGCCGCAGCTTGATTAGCCTTCTTGATCTCATCAAATTTCTTTTGAGATGCCAATTCTGTTATGGTAAAAAAAAGTGATAACATTTATACTAAAATGCTGTCATGCTGTCTCCTGGCAACTTATGGCAACACTATGAATTGCATAGGGCTGTATCAGAGGCATCGAAAATACAACTTTTTTAAACACATGAAATGCAAAAATGCAAAAACAAACAAAATTTCTGTTTCAAAATCTAGCCCATCACATAAAGCAAAGAAATATCAGAAATGGCATTTTTGACAGCTTTTCTGTATAAAAAGAACACTGTTAAATAATCTTCTAGTGTGCAAAGCCAGAACACATGAAAAATAAGATCAGGAGTTCTTCAAGCTAGTTCAGCATTTTCTTAAAACACAGGAATTCTTGGTTACTTTCTACATGTTGCTGAGGCTGGTTCTTCACTGCCATATGTTGTAGTTTGAACTGCAACATATGGTGAGTGTAGGTCCATATAATGCAGTTCAATGCAATTCAAACTGCATTATATGGCACAGTAGATCCAGTCTGAGACCACTGACAGTTTGCCTTCTAGTGGTTCAATCTTTGTATTGTACACAAAATCATTAAAAAATATTATGTAGAAAATTACCTTCAGGCTATGCATTCAAGGTATAAAAATATAAATGAAGGTCGTGTTTAGAGTTGGGTCCCATCTCTAAGACATCTGATTATGGACATATACGCAAGTGCAGGCACAGGTTGAGTACCCTTATCTGAAATTCTTGGGACCAGAAGTGCTTTGCTTTGGTAATTTTTTAAATACCTGTATTTTCATAGACATATATAGCAAGATATTTTGAAGATGGGACCAAGCCTAAACATAAAATTCATTAATGCTTCACATATATTTTACTTATGAAGCTCATTTTATACAATGTTTTAAATATGTGCCACCGAACCATCATGACTACTTTGAAAGCAGTCATTATACTCCAGAAACTTCGTTTTGTGGCTGCCACAAACAATATGGAATTGGTTGAGGTATTCATTGAAAAGCTATACACAGTGTGCTGCAGGATATCTTGCAAAAATAAATGTTTTGCAGTTTAGTAGAGGTTTTCCTATGTTTTTATGATAGAACCAATTAGGAAATGACATTTATAACCCAGGAACACAAATTGTATTATATAATGTAATTGAAAATAATAATAATTGGTTGCTGTGAGTTTTTCAGTAGAATTCTCTCTTGACGTTTCACCTGCATCTATGGCAGGCATCCTCAGAGGTCTGTTCAGAGGTCTACGGGAATGAGGAAGTTGGGCTAAAGAGACCCAGCTCTTTAAGACGCTCCTCATAGGGCATGTTATCCAGACCTTTGCTCATTTTAGTTTCCCTCTTCTGAACACTTTCCAGCTTGTCAATATTTTTTAACTGTGGTGCCCAGAATTGGACACAGTATTCCAGGTGTGGTCTAACCAAAGCAGAATACAGTGGCATTATTACTTCCCTCGACTGAATACTATGCTACTTTTGATGCAGCCCAAAATCTCATTGGCTTTTTTAGCTGCTGCATCACACTGTTGGCTCATGTTCAATTTGTTGCCCACAAAGACTCCAAGCTCTTTCTCACATGGACTGTTGTCGAGCCAGGTGTCCACCATTCTGTACCTTTGCCTTTCTCATGGCTTGTTCTTGGTCTTAGGGATGCTTGCCCCAATGTAGGTGAAACGTCAGGAGGGAATATTACTCGTACGTGGCCATACAGCCTGAGAAACTCATAGCAATCTAGTGATTCCGACCATGAAAGCCTCCGACAACACAATAATAATATATACTATTATTGTTGGGTTGCTGTGAGTTTTCAAGGCTGTATGGCCATGTTTCAGAGGCATTCTATTTTGGCATTTCACCCAAATCTATGGTAGGCATCCTCGGAGGTTATGAGGTCTGTTGGAAACTTGGCTAGTGGGGTTTACATATCTGTGAAATGTCCAAGGTAGAGAAAGAACTCTTGTCTGTTTGAGTAGGTATGAATGTTGCAATTGGTCATACTGCAGCTTCAAGGCAGCCAGGCTTTGAAGCCATAAGGCACAGAGAAGAGCTCTTTGCCCCACCCCAGTCATTCCACAGATATATAAACCCATTTTCCTAATTCTAACAGACCTCACTACCTCTGAGGATGCTTGCCATAGATGCAGGCAGAAAATGCCTCTAGAACATGGCCATATAGCCCGAAAAAACCCACAAGAACCTAGTGATTCCAGCCATGAAAGCCTTCGACAATATGATGTTGTTTATTGTTTTCGTTTTCGGTTTGCGTTCAGTTTCTCTTAACTGTTATTGTTGTTTGGGCTTGGCCTCATGTAAGCCGCTCTGAGTCCATTGGGGAGATGTTGGCGGAGTATAAATAAAGATTATTATTATTATTATTATTATTATTATCAAGGTGGCCAATTGCAACATTCACACTTGCCTCAAACAAACAAAAGTTCTTTCTCCCATCTTGGATATCCCATATTTATAAACCTCACTGGCCAGGTTTCCAACAGACCTCACATCGATGTGGGAGAAACGTCAGGAGAATCATAGAATCATAGAATCAAAGAGTTGGAAGAGACCTCATGGGCCATCCAGTCCAACCCCCTGTCAAGAAGCAGGAATATTGCATTCAGCCCAGCGGTAGGCGATTCATTTTTTTTTTAACTGGCTCAGCGCCCGGACCGCGTACGAGCGCACAAAAAAGGAGGAGATAAAAAATGTATAAGACAGACAAAGAGGCACGCGCTCGTGTGTTAGACGCCATGACTGGGTTACATGGCTGTCTCACCCAGTTCAAAGTAGATATTGTGGGATTTTCTGCCATGATATTCTGGGTTATAGGGCTGTGTGGAAGGGCCTTCAGATAACCCAGTTCAAAGCAGATATTGTGGGATTTTCTGACTTGATATTCCGGGTTATATGGCTGTGTGGAAGGGCCCTCAGATAACCCAGTTCAAATCAGATATTGTGGGATTTTCTGCTTTGATTTTCTGGGATATAGGGCTGTGTAGAAGAGCCCTGGGTCCACACTACCATATCTTCCGGTTCAAAGCAGATATTGTGAGATTTTCAGCTTTGATTTTCTGGAATATAGGGCTGTGTGGAAGGGCCTCAGATAACCCAGTTCAAAGCAGATATTGTGGGATTTTCTGCCATGATCTCACATTATCTTTGTGTGGACTCAGATAACCCAGTTCAAAGCAGATATTATGGGATTTTCTGCCTTGATATTCTGGGTTATATGGCTGTGTGGAAGGGCCCTCAGATAACCCAGTTCAAAGTAGATATTGTGAGATTTTCTGCATTGATATCCTGGGTTATATGGCTGTGTGGAAGGGCCCTCACATAACCCAGTTCAAAGTAGATATTGTGGGATTTTCTGCCATGATATTCTGGATTATAGGGCTGTGTGGAAAGGCCTTCAGATAACCCAGTTCAAAGCAGATATTGTGAGATTTTCTGCCTTGATATCCTGGGTTATATGACTGTGTGGAAGGGCCCTCAGATAACCCAGTTCAAAGCAGATATTGTGGGATTTTCTGCCTTGATATTCTGGGTTATATGGCTGTGTGGAAGGGCCCTCAGATAACCCAGTTCAAAGCAGATATTGTGGGATTTTCTGCCTTGATATTCTGCATTATCTGAGTGTGGTCTCAGATAACCCAGTTCAAAGCAGATATTGTGGGATTTTCTGCCTTAATATTCTGGGATATAGGGCTGTGTGGTGGACCCAGATAACCCAGTTCAAAGCAGATATTGTGGGATTTCTGCCTTGATATTCTGGGTTATATGGCTGTGTGGAAGGGCCCTTGAAGTTAAGCAAGGTCAGACACAGTTAGTACTTAGATAGGCTGCTTTGAACTGGGATATATGGCAGTGTGGAGTCAGATAACCCAGTTCAAAGCAGATATTGTGGGATTTTCTGCCTTGATATTCTGGGTTATATGGCTGTGTGGAAGGGCCTTCAGATAACCCAGTTCAAAGCAGATATTGTGAGATTTTCTGCATTGATATCCTGGGTTATATGGTTGTGTGGAAGGGCCGTCGGATAACCCAGTTCAAAGCAAATATTGTGGGATTTTTTGACATGATATTCCGGGTTATATGGCTTTGTGGAAGGGCTCTCAGATAACCCAGTTCAAAGTAGATATTGTGGGATTTTCTGCCAATATATTCTGGGTTATAGGGCTGTGTGGAAGGGCCTTCAGATAACCCAGTTCAAAGCAGATATTGTGAGATTTTCTGCCTTGATAAACTGGGTTATATGGCAGTGTGGACTCAGATAACCCAGTTCAAAGCAGATATTGTGGATTTTCTGCCTTGATATTCTGGGTTATATGGCTGTGTGGAAGGGCCCTCAGATAACCCAGTTCAAAGCAGATATTGTGGGATTTTCTGCCTTGATATTCTGGGTTATATGGCTGTGTGGAAGGGCCCTCAGATAACCCAGTTCAAAGTAGATATTGTGGGATTTTCTGCCTTGATATTCTGGGTTATATGGCTGTGTGGAAGGGCCTTCAGATAACCCAGTTCAAAGCAGATATTGTGAGATTTTCTGCCTTGATATCCTGGGTTATATGGTTGTGTGGAAGGGCCGTCAGATAACCCAGTTCAAAGCAAATATTGTGGGATTTTCTGCCTTGATATTCTGGGTTATATGGCTGTGTGGAAGGGCCCTCAGATAACCCAGTTCAAAGTAGATATTGTGGGATTTTCTGCCTTGATATTCTGGGTTATAGGGCTGTGTGGAAGGGCCTTCAGATAACCCAGTTCAAAGCAGATATTGTGAGATTTTCTGCCTTGATATTCTGGGTTATATGGCTGTGTGGAAGGGCCCTCAGATAACCCAGTTCAAAGCAGATATTGTGGGATTTTCTGCCTTGATATTCTGGGTTATATGGCTGTGTGGAAGGGCCTTCAGATAACCCAGTTCAAAGCAGATATTGTGGGATTTTCTGACTTGATATTCTGGGTTATATGGCTGTGTGGAAGGGCCCTCAGATAACCCAGTTCAAAGCAAATATTGTGAGATTTTCTGCCTTGATATCCTGGGTTATATGGCTGTGTGGAAGGGCCCTCAGATAACCCAGTTCAAAGCAGATATTGTGGGATTTTCTGCCTTGATATTCTGGGTTAGATGGCTGTGTG